AAGATATCAAATGTTTAACAAAAAACATCTTAAAACAAATATGGCAAATACAGTGGTCAGACAACCCACAGGGAAGATTATTACACTCCATCCAAAATATTGTATCTTTTAAGATTACTATTCCACAAATGAATAGAGAAAATGAACGAATCATATTCAGATTAAGATCTGGCTCTATTAATGTCAATAAATATCTTTACAAAATAGGGAAAAGTCCCAGTGAAATTTGTGAAAATTGTAAAGTCACAGACGATGTTGTACACTTTCTATTAGTCTGCTCAAAATATGATGCACAAAGAAAATAGATGTTTGAAACGCTTAAAAATCATGGTCATAGATCTCTCATTGAAACACCTTCTATCCGGATACACACATACTTTTAGTCCCGTGCATAACTTTTTACGGGAAACTAATATACTTATAAGAAAATAAGGAAGACTCTCAAATAAGTGTCATTTAGCCTTTGGATCAAATAATAGATATAAGAAGATGTGGTATGAGTGCCAATGAGACAACTCTCCATCCAAGTCAAAATTTATAAAAGTAAACCATTATAGGTCACAGTACGGTCTTCAACACGGAGCCTTGGCTCACACCGAACAGTAAGCTATAAAGGGCCCCAAAAAATTACTAGTGTAAAACCATTCAAACGGGAAAACCAACGGTCTAATCTATATAAAAAACGAGAAACGAGAAACACTTATGAACCACATCAACAAACGACAACTACTGAACATCAGATTCCTGACTTAGGACAGGTGCAAACAAATGCAGCGGGTTTAAACGTTTTAATGGTACCAAACCTTCACCCTTTTTCTGAAACAATAGTGTAACATCACAACATAGAAAGACACACTATAAAATATCAACTGAAATAGCTTAACTCAATCAAAGGACATATTAACACCATTGAACATACACTGAACAAATAAATTTGACCTATGACACAATGTAAATACAAAATAAATAGAAGAATATGTATTTGTAACCTGTGTACATGATGTATTTCTCAGAAGGTTTCTCACGTTTAATTATTTCACCATTACAAAACAAGCACGATTAAAGATAAAAACTCACCCGAATCTGAAAACTTTTTCTTTTTTCTTTTTTAATATCCATAGAATATATTGTTGTACATCAGTAAATCAATCATCTTTCAAACACCAGTACGTAACTGACCACGCAATGCACGCAATTAATTTTAACAAGTCTCGAAAATTCAAGTTTTAACACTCTAATCTATTGAAGATTATTAGTAACTCCGACACTAAATAAGTTAGCAGTAAATGTTAGGGGAAAAAATACAATATCACTTTAAGAGTCTCGAAAACGGACAATTACAGTCATATCTTTTAGAAATTAAGAAAAACAAACAAGCAAAAACAACACACTTAGATCATATATTTAAGGATAGAAACATTTGCTACAACCTTTTCTATGAAGGTGTCACTAAAATTTGTCTTAATAATTTAACAGTTTATGTTAAAAACTAAAGGAAAAGTAAGAACAAAAGAAAATATAATATCACTTTCAGATTTCACAAACTGAAAATTACAGTCCTATCATAAGAAAATAAGAAAAACAAACAAACAAACACAATAAGCTCATATATTTCAGAAAAGAAGCATGTGCTAGATTCTTTTCTATGACAATAAATCGGTGTCACTAAAATTTGTACTAGAGGATATTATCAGTTAAACAAACACACACTGAATATTGTAAATATATATGCACAACCCTGCACTATTGTTTAGCTGACATTCTCTATACTTAAAACAAATTCAAACAATTGCATTGTTTTAATAATATACTGGTATTAAATTTTTTACATATTTTTTTCTATTTTTACTTCTTATATATATTACATGTATATATATCTAAATAGGCGACTAAGGGTGTAGGAAGGGGTGATTTCTCATTCAATGACAGAAGTGTTTTTTTTTCTCGTCAGAGAGTGAGGAATCACTAAATACCAGTATGTCTTTGGAGTGTTATTCGGAACAATATACGCGAACGTTATGGAAAAGGAACAACTACAAAATCTCAATCCTTATTACAGCCGATTTCATTGAGTGTGTAGGAAAAGGTAAAATCTTTGGTTAGCTTGCTTGCTAGCTGAAGCGTGAAGTCATTATTAGGTTAGGTAAACTACCCTCCTTTATGAGTAGACTAGTCCGACAGACAGATAGAATTAATTATCTGTTGGACTTTTTTTTTCCATTTATAAAGGGGCATAACTCTAGAACGGTTAAAGTGATGCCACCAAAATTCAAACTTGATCTGTGTTTTGTGGTAATAAGCATTGTGTATAAGTTTCATAACATTTGGTTGAGACAAACTTAAGTTAGAGAACTGAAACTAAAAATTTTGCAATTTTTCCATTTATAAAGGGGCATAACTCTAGAACGGTTAAAGTGACACCACCAAAATTCAAACTTGATCTGTGTTTTGTGGTAATAAGCATTGTGTATAAGTTTCATAACATTTGGATGAGGCAAACTCAGTTATGTTTGAATGTTTTGGTTTTTAGGGAATTTGGTTTGGCCTTCAAATTAATTAAAAATGAATTCTCTACTTTTTAACTCTCTGGCTCCTTACATAAAAAAAATATTGCAATAATATGCTCCGCTGGGTGCAGCTTGATACGACCGCAGAGGTCGAACCCTGAACAGTTTTTTGCCCCTTTTTGGCCTCTAATTCCTAAAATTTTGAGGCAATTACCCCCAAAATCAATCCCAGCCTTCCCTTTGTGGCATGGTACCTTGCAGTACAATTTCAGAGAGATCCATACACTTGAACACAAGTTATTGTCTGGAAACAAGAAAAATGCTTATTTTTGGCCCCTTATTCCTAAACGTTTCGGGCAATTACCCCCAAACTCAATTCCAGCTTTCCCTTTGAGATATGGAACCTTGTACAAATGTAGTACAATTTCAGAAAGATCCATACACTTACACACAAGTTATTATCATGAAACTAGAAAAATGCTTGTTTTTTGCCCCTTTTTTGGCCCCTAATTCCTAAAATTTTGAGGCAATTACCCCCAAAATCAATACCAGCCTTCCCTTTGTGATATGGAACCTTGTGGTACAATGTCAGAGAGATCCATACACTAACACACAAGTTATGTATGGAAGTTACAAAAATGCTTATTTTTGGACCCTAATTCCTTAACTGTTGGTACCAGAACCCCCAAAATCAATCCCAACCTTCCTTTTGTGGTATTGAACCTTATGGTAAAATTTCATAGAGATCAATTCACTTAAACTAAAGTTAGAGTGCGAAAACCAATGTGTCTTTGGACGACAACGCCATCAACGACGTCATACCAATATACGACCACAAACATTTTTTTTTTTGCGGTCGTAAAATAAAAACTGATCGCTAATTACGTTGAAATGTATATGACATGGAATTGTTTTTTGTTTCACAAGTTGCTGGCAATGAAGAGCTTGACACTTGTCAGTGTTGCTGGAAGACCATGTTTCTTGTTTCAGTTGCCGTCTCATTGATGTAATCCCCACATATCCAAAAAAATACAAATTATTGAAAAACTCTTCAAGTACTATGGAATAATCACGTCCAGACTTGCATTCCTTCATTCGGATTTCAATGTTTTAAAATCTGGACATGTATTGAGTTATAGCGCCTGTGTAATATTTCATAACAAGAATGTTCCCATAGTACACAGATGCCCCACTCTCACAATCATTTTCTATGTTCAGTGGACTGTGAAATTGGGGTCAAAACTCTAATTTGGCATTAAAATTAGAAAGATCACATCATAGGGAACATGTGTACTAAGTTTCAAGTTGATTGGACTTCAACTTCATCAAAAACTACCTTGACCAAAAACTTTTAACCTGAAGCGGGACAGATGGACGAACAGACAGACGAACAAACGGACACACAGACCGAAAAACATAACGCCCCTAGGTGGGGCATAAAAACACGGGACCTAATGAAGGGAACTTGTTGTCAATATGGCTGGATGTAAACTTTTCTTGTTAATGTATGCAGGTCTCTATAAAATTGCATCTATGGGTGTTTACCCTATTTTCAAAGTGCTTTCCCTGTGTACCATGTTTGGTTTAATTGAACAGCTTATAATCATTTTATTACCGTCATATTTGTTGGTAAGGAAACTGTAAAGTCTACAGAAAACTACACACATTATTGGCAAGTATATTTGTATACCATACTAGCAGAAAAGTTGAGTTTAACTATTTTACCATCCTCATCACTGTCTTATTTTCTCTATGTAAAGAACACACTGGTGGATAATCATACATCTCTGAAGTCCAACTGGTTTCAAAGTTATAAAGGGGAAACAATTTTTGTACATATGGTCCTGGTTTGGTTAGTTTTTGACCATGACTTTCTATGTATGTTTTTTTTTCCATTTTTCTTCTTGTAGTGGTAAATAATCATGCCGAGTTTCATCCCTGAACTCAAAGGGGTTAAGGGTACAAGAACAAAACGATTTTTGTACATATATGCACATGGGTGGGTAAGATGAACAAAGTTTTGTGACCATGATGAAGTGTATTTGTTTACTTCTTTGAAGTGACACCTTCTTTTAACTGTGAATAAACATGTCTGTCATATTTGTTTTTCTTAAATTGTTTTGTTATAAATTAGGCCGTTAGTTTTCTCAATTGAATAGTTTCATATTCAGGGCCTTTTAAAGCCAACTACACAGTATGGGGTTTTCACATTGTAGAAGGCCATACAGTTGCCTATAATTTCTTAAATCCAATTCATTTGAACTTTGGTGGATAGTTGTCTCATTGGTAATCATACCACATCCTATTTTTGTAAATACAAATTTCATCACTAATGTCTTAGAGGTTTCAAACTTAAAAGAGCAAACCATTTTTGGCAGACAGATGGACAAGCAGATTACTATAGATGTTCAGCAATTAATTAACAGGGCACTAATAACTATTTGAGTTATTGGAAAAGCAAGCAGTTTTTACTGGAATAAACAAACACTTCAATTTTTCTCTTCAATAATTTATTGTGTATTTATTTTTTTGTTGCCTCTGGTTTGTTGAAAACATATGTAAGACAACATTTTCCACAGTATTGTCTGTCAAAATGGTTAGCCATGAACACACCAGCACCACATTCCTCATTGGGGCATTCACGTCTCAGTCTGGTGATTTTACCGTTCTCGTCAACCTGAAAAAAATAAATAATGCAAACATGATCAATACTATCAAGATCTACAACAAACATTAATCAAAGTGCTTGTAAGCACTGAAGGGTAAAGATTGCTTTAATTTATCAGTGGGAAGTCAAATTAAACATTGCATTGTATAAAGCATCAACTACAATTAAGAACAAAGGAAGATAATTCCAATTTTAAAGATTACTTTAACCATGACATCATCGATATATTTAGAGTTATTAAGTTTCAGCCCCTTGCACAAGTTATGTAATTTTCATCCTAAGTATAACATCATTTTGTAACATTAATATCTGATCATATATTTCATTGATAAATTTCTGGAAATGTTCATGGATAGGATGTATAGAATGTTATGATCAATGCACTATATTTTTTTGTATATCAAAAGTAGTGATAAACCTTGGAAGATATAGATATCAAGTCAGTACCATAGGGTTTTCTAATTGCATTTCATGCAATCTTTACCCAAAAATGTTTCAGTCTACAATTTAATTGTTTCAGAGTAATCTGTAGTATTCATTGAAATAAAGTTTAACCATACCAATACATGATCATATGCCCTCTTCCTAATTTTAGACAAATTTATAATTAGAATTGCATGAATCATGCCAGAATTTACACATACCACTGTTTCCAATGAACTTAAGAAATAAATATATTCAACACAAAACTGGTAACATCATTTCATTAGCTCAATAAATGGACCGTAATATTTTCTAGTTTGAAATTCACAGATATTGTTGATTCATACTTAATATTTTCTTTTTACTATCTCATCTTATTTTTTATATGATTACCACCGTAAATTTGCAAGTAAATATATATGTGTGAATCCTACAATGTCTACCGTCTAAATACACTCATCCTCATCATCATATTTTGAAATCAAATGCTCAGACTTTTGGTAAGCTTTTTTAATCATTTGCTTCATCCTAATAATGGTCATCAAAGCATTTTTCTTTCAATAATCATAAATCAACATATATGTTACAGCAAAAGCCTGCAGGTAATTTGTTATTCTTATACTTGAAACTTTACCATATTTTTGAAGGACTAAGAAATAAAAAATTTCTTTTTGTTATATTTTACAACTGATTGTTTGAAAAAAAGTATTTTTTGTTCCTGTTGACCTAGTTTGGGACTAAAATACTTTGCATAAATTCTTAAGAATTCAGTTTTTCCTCACTTGTTTGTAAGCCCAGATATGTTAAAGCATTGATTGCTTGATGTGAAGCATTTTTAAAGCCTACAATAAGTCTTAAAATGAACTTGTATTCATTTACCATATTATATATTAAAATAAAATGCTCAAACTTTTGGCAAGCATTGTTTTAATCATTTGCCTCATCCCAATCATGGTCATCCAAGCATTTTCTAATAATTTCAGTAATCTTAAGCTCACATTAATTACAATGTTATTGGAGCAATTTATTTCAAATTTATTGATCAATAAACAGATTTTTTTTTCATTTTACATATAACAAGTTTACAGCAACACCCTTCAAAAAGTAGTAATAAAAACTTAATATAGATTATTAAGAAGCTTATTTCAAGAGAATTTAATAAAAGAAACTAAAAGAAAAGCTGTCAATCCTATTAACCTAAAATATAATGGTAGGGTTGGTTGGAAACTTATAAATTGCTACTCTATTTCCTAAATACTTCAATCTAATACACCAAAATTCTCACTATTTTAGGTAATTGATATGATGCTGATGCTCAGACATGGTAACGCTTAGATTATAATCATCAGCTTCGTTAGGTGTCCTAAGTTTTGTCATCATAGCATCAAACAGAGCAAATCATTCAAATTACTGTTTGATTGTTCATAATATATTCATGCTTGAGGATCACAATTATTCTCATTAGGATACCAATGCTGTTATCAATTACCTATCATATCATATTTTTTGGGGGTTAATTTAAATTAACCTGAAGCTTTTAATTTGCTATGATGTTTTATGAAATTTTTGAGGGAGAAAATTTATCAAATTTCTATTCAGTAAGGAATTGCTTTTTGTTTACTGTCTTATAGATGTTTACATGGCAGCACATGCAAAGATTATATAACTTTTGAATTCTAATACATGGGAAGTGTTGATTGGGAATTCATATTGCTACTCTATTTCTTAAAAACTCCAGTCTATATGCAACAAATTCACAAGCTTTTTAGTCATTTTATACTTTGCTGATGCTCAGACATGGTAACGCTTAGTTTTTAATCATCAGCTTCGTTAGGTGTCCTAAGTTTTGTCATCATAGCAACAAACAAGAGCAGATTAATCGACTGTCATCTGTAGATCCCTTTATCTTCTATTGAAATTAATTTTTGAAGTTTTCATTCATTGTTTGATAGAAAACAATGTACTCTCATTAGAAGGAACCCAATACTGTATTAAAATAACCCCTATCCTATTGCAATGATTTCTTTAAAGAATTTGTAAATTTGATTTCCTTTTGCTAGGAAGCTATTTGAAATTTGTATGGGAGGAAAACTGATTTAGGTTACTATAAGGTAGTTTGCTGTGTAATAAATGTTAACAGGCACAGGCTAATGATACAATGTACATAAAACAAATGGTTGGCCAGATTAATTTTTTTTTTTTTTTTAGATGAACCAGAAGTTATATGTACATATAAAATGTAATTGAAATTTAATAGATTCCATTTAAAATTCATCTTTCTGAATGTATTTCCATTGATTATTATTCGTGTTTTATCAACTATAATGTGCTTGAAGATAATAGATGGAGGGTCCAAAAAAAGACATGAGATTAAATGATTGGCAATTTAAAATTTGAGACTGACTGGTAACCATTAAATTGATTTTTTGGGGTTTAATACTCAAAATGATGTGGACATAGTCAGACATAGTTATTGTATATCTTGTGAATATATGGTTGCTTTAAGAAATGTTCTTCAACAAAAAGATAAATGCTCAGACTTTTGGTAAGCTGTTTATAATCACTGCCTTCATTTTTTTTTATAAAATGTCATCATGGCATTCTTCATAAATGACCTTGTACCTGTTTCATTCAGTTAAGTTAAAAGTTCTTGTTGTCAATTAATAGTATAAAAAGGTCAATTGAAAACAATGATGTGATCAATCCTCTCTATAAAGTAGTTGTTAGATTACAACCATAAATTACTTCATATCACAGATAAATGACAAATGTATCATATTTTAATAATTTAAATGCTTCTACTTAATTTGCATAAGAACAGTAATTTTATAGTAATCAGAGTTCATCCCAATGCTATTAGATACTGCTACACTGTCAAATTTTATTTAAAAAAATTAACTAATTTGAATTATCCTGATGGATACATCAATGCTATTCGAAAATTAGAAAGGGGGTGGGGGTGGTAGAAAGAGAGAGAGAAAACAGATTTAATCTTCCAATAGGTAGTGGTTGGAAATTCATATTGCTACTCTTATTTCCTGAATACTTGTGGCCTTAATTCACCAAAATTCACAATATTTTAAATAAATGATGCCATTCTGATGCTCAGACATGGTAACGCTTAGATTATAATCATCAGCTTCGTTAGGTGTCCTAAGTTTTGTCATCATAGCATCAAACAGAGCAGAGAATTCAAACTGTTACCTGCAGATCCATAGAAGTAAATTTTACAAGTTTTCATGCATCATGCCAAGTATAAAGTTTGATTTTTTATAATGTATTCACAGGGTTTAAAATGGATAGGAAATTTTGATGATTTTATGATTGTCTATACCAAATTTGAAACAGTAAATGAGAGTCCATTATTTTTTTTTTTACAAGATTTACATGATAATTGGATATCATGTGAACATATGTGAGGCTCTGGATGGGGTTTACATAATAGAGAATAATGGGGTGCTAAAAGATAAAGAATAAAGGGCAAAAAATATAAAGAATAGAGGAAAATGCCATAAAAAGTTAAAGAACACAGAAATGAAGAAATGAAGGACCCCCATCCCGACTCTCATATGGTTGCTTTATGAAACTTTCATCAACAATAAGATAAATGCTCAGACTTTTGGTAAGCTGTTTATAATCACTGCCTTCATCTATAATAAAATGTCATCATGGCATTCCTATTTCTACAAGTTTCATTTGGTTATACTAAGTGTTTAATGATAAGCATTCTTGCTGTAATATAGTCTTAATTACTTTACATGTATGTGTCATAAGAATCCTTACTTTTGATAAGCTGACAACAATAGCAAGGCATTTCAACATTAGAATTTATTCTTAGAATAAAGTGCAACATTTATGACTGTATGTGCCTCCCATGACAATGTCATAACAATGCAAAAGAAAACAAATGAAAAGCTTGATATAACATTTTATTTCATGGCTGTACTGCCCCTGTAGCATATAAATGTAATTATATAGAATTGAATGCTTCTTTTTTGGTAATTTCATAGGATTGTAAGTGTCGATCGTGCTAGAATGTTATTTCATAATTTCTTGCGGGAGAAAACTGAGTTTCTATAAGTAAGCTGTAAGCCTGTTTGCTACCTAGTTAATGCTGGTAAAGATAAGAAGCATATGTTAGCTACATTTTATATGTAACTTTTGAATTTAATGCTTGCCTCTGATAAAGAGACTGATGTGCAATATACATGGGAAATGTTGGTCTGTAAGATAATTTCTTTCCTGAACTTTTTTATTTGATCTGAAGCAGCTTATTCGGGTAAAATAAATGTAATAAAAATCTAGATTCCATTTGAAATTCGTCTTTCCAAATCTATTACCATTTAAGATAATTATTTGTTTCATCAACTATTAAAATTGAGAATGGAAATGGGGAATGTGTCAAAGAAACAACCCAACCAAAGAGCAGAAAACAGCCAAAGGCCACCAATGGGTCGTCAACACAGCGAGAAAATCCCACACCCGGAGGCTGCTTCACCTGGCCCCTTAACAAAAATGTGAACTATTGTACACACACACATAAAAACAAATGAACTGAATGTTGCGTAATGGGCAGTCCAAAATAAACCAGATATTATTTTATGACTGGCAATACAAATTTGAGGACAGTAACCAGAAAATGTCTTTATTTCTACCTTATCTATGAAGTTGATTATTGGTTGTGAAAAAATTATACTAGCATCACAAAAGATTTCTAAACCTTGTGGATATATGGTTGCTTTATGAAATTTTTCTTCATCAAGAAAATAAATGCTCAGACTTTTGGTAAGCTGTTTATAATCACTGCCTTCATGTTCTATAAAATGTCATCATGGCATCTTTTCATAAATGATCTAGTACCAGTTTCATTGTTTTGATGTTAATAGTTTAAAAAAGTAAACTGAAAATCATTATGTGATCAAATGTATCTAACATCATGATTACGCCCATTTCTTAGATCATAAACATAAAGGATGGAAGATATACTTCAGCAAACCCATCCATTCAAGCAATGTGGGATAACACGGAAGACCAGATCTACTCTTGTAACATTCTTTATTTTTTCTGGACAGTTCATGATGTTGAGAAAACCTACCTTGTAGTATTTAAGGACAGCCAATTTAACCTTCTTCTTCTTGTGTTTGTTCTTTTTTGGTGTGGTGTAATTCTTCTTCTTACGTTTCTTGGCCCCACCCCTCAGACGTAATACAAGATGGAGGGTAGATTCCTTCTGAATGTTGTAATCAGAGAGGGTTCTTCCATCCTCCAACTGCTTGCCAGCGAAGATCAATCTTTGCTGATCTGGGGGGATACCTGTAATTACACCAGAAATTATTTACTTTAATTACAAGGAACAATATATGTTAGTTTGGAAGAGTACCAGAGAAAGAAAGTTAAAGCACTTTAGAATTAGCACCTACTGGAGCATATTCAAGTAATGTTAAAATCTGTAAAGATACAACATGTATGCATTGCTCACAGCTACTTGGCTGGTAATGATAGGTCAGATTTCATCTGTTCTCTTACATATCAGGATTTTTGGAAGTTGCTGTAAATTGGAAATCATTACAATGCTTCTTGGTTGGTATCTTTTATAATAGTTTTTATCAAATAGGCTTTTTCGTAGTTTTCATTTTCAGATGCCAATCAGTTGTATATCGATGCTCAGACATGGTAACGCTTGATTTATAATCATCAGCTTCGTTAGGTGTCCTAAGTGTTGTCATCATTGCATATACATATACTACAGGAAAATAACTACTTTATACAGCTTACGACTTCTTACGAGGACAAACTCAGATATATTATGAATTGTCAACCAAAAAATAAAATAGCAGCTAATTTTAAAATTATTTTACTTAGTTCATGTAGTTATTTCTTTTCTTAAGTACCAACAGAAGTCAACTTACAGCAGTCATCATACAACATGTTAAAATTGAACATAAAAGTAAAGTTATAACACTAATTTTTTCACTTCAGAACATTTACCTTCTTTGTCTTGAATTTTAGCCTTGACATTCTCTATAGTATCACTGGGTTCGACCTGTAAAATTCATTACAATAATTTTTACAACACTTTTGGAAAGTTCTTATAATTTGAAAATCATTACAAAATGCTTGTTGTCTGGTAACAGCTTTATAAGAGCTATTTTTAATCAAATAGGATATTTGTAAATATCATTTTTTATAAGCATATCAGTTATATAACTGCAATGCTCAGACATGGTAACGCTTAGTTTATAATCATCAGCTTCGTTAGGTGTCCTAAGTGTTGTCATCATTGCATATCTATATATGTATAACCTGATAACTGAGTAAATAATTATACAGAGTATTTTTTTTATTTCATCCATGTGAAATTCTAGCAATAAGCTCAAGATTCAGAAGACACCTGTTTTCTGTACTAAAGTTCTTTTCTTTGGCATTACATTTCTCTGTTTTATTAAACCAAGAAATGTATGAAAAAATTGGTTCCCAACAAACAACAATACCTTCGTTTTTGTTTGTTTCTTAGGTTGCTGTTTTATTTATGAACTCCCCACATCTTAATTTGTCCAATCTTAAATTTTAATCAATGTCTTTGCAAAATTTCCCATTTACAGTGTATCAAACAATGATACACGCAGTTCAACACTTATTTCTGCAACAAAGCAACTCCAGTTCCCTAATTATCCTTTTCTCATGCCCAACAGTTGTATCAATGCTCAGACATGGTAACGCTTAGATTTATAATCATCAGCTTAGCTTCGTTAGGTGTCCTAAGTATTGTCATCATAGCATATCATATACAGCTTAAAAGTCTTCACGATGAACTTTTATCTACAGGCCCGGAGGTCAATTTCGTGAAAGTTTTAGTTATATTCTGATGGCCTGTAGAGATGATTTTACAGGCCCGAAAGCAATTTTACAAGCCTGGGCTGCTGAGCCTGCAGTTAAGCATGAAGACTGCAGCTTATAGAGGGAAAAAACAATAGATGCTCAAACTTCTGGCAATTTAAACCAGGTAGCCTACCTACAATTCCATAAATTACAAGAATAAAACTTTTTTTATAATTTGCAGAATACAGAGGTCAGTGTGACCCTTATTTGCTAATTCAGTTAATCAGTAACCTTGGATTATTGAGTTCCGTCATTTTTTAATCTACCATAGACTGAATGACCTTTCTCATGATATACAGTGAATGATACAGTGTAGATACATTTTTTGGGGGTTATACTGATAATGCACAGCATAATTCGGTCAAGAAAATATTTGTAGCCATAAAAAGATTGAAAGCCAATTAATAAGCTTAATTTATCAGTGATGAAATTTAAATAATGTTTTACAGGAGTTTGTCAATTGGGCTTGTACGAGTTTTCGTTCAGGTGCACAGCTCAAGATTTGTTCTATATAAAATCAGAACAATATCTATTATTTAGCTTAGCAAGTAAATGTATTTGTAATCTCTCCAGTTATTCCATTTTCATACATGTAGGTGCTTTTGTCCATATACAGCCAAAATTCACAAAAATTTTAATAAAATGATATTGTACTGATGCTCAGACATGGTAACGCTTAATTTGTAATCATCAGCTTCGTTAGGTGTCCTAAGTATTGTCATCATAGCATCAAATAGTCGGGACAGTTCTACTTCTACCTATAGAACCATGAATCTTTACATCTTCAAGGTTGATTTATGACATATAAGCAAGATAATGTTTGAAAACTTGTAACATGATGACGACAAGTTCTATTAAAAATCCATCTGGTGATTATCTGCTGTCTAATTACTGTTTATCCTTAACTTTTTCCATTCTTGTTTAAGTTAGTAAATCAGTAGAGAGTGAAATTTATAAACTGTTTCAAACTGGATGTAAAATTATTTCCCTTTCTTGGTAAGCGAGTGAAACAGAACATGATCTAACATCATCTTAGTATATTACAGAATTTCAGACACCCAAGTTACTATGAAGAAATGTACGAGATATTGAAATCAACTACATAAAGGACTGTTAAAAAAAATAAATGGAGAATGTGTCCATTGGACACAGATGATGCCTCTGCTTGCATATAACATTATAAAGGGACATAACTCAAAAACAGTAAAAGTATTGCCACCCAAATTCGAACTTGAACTGAGTTTCATAACATTTGGTTGAGGCAAACTAAAGTTAGAGAACGGAAACCAATTTCAGGACGTACATACATGGGCAACTCTTAATGCCCCCTCCAGTAACAGCGAGGGCATAAAAACAAAGATAAAGGGCAACTAAAGGCAATTAATTTAACTTCCATTTTATCTTCACTCTGGAATATGGTAAAAGCTTACTTCCTTGGCTATAAAAGTGTTGCTCATACTGATTTCAGGAAGTTCTTAGTTATACTTAAGCTCAGACATGGTAACGCTTAAGTTATAATCATCAGCTTCGTTAGGTGTCCTAAGTGTTGTCATCACTGCTCAAGCAAACAAGTTCAACCAACAAATGAAATGTGTTTCAGAAAGGTTTGAATTTTTTTCTTTCTTTCTGAAACACAAATTGTTTTCCAGATTGATCCCATGGGCAAAGGTTTTAAGATAGACCAACCAAAGAAACATTCATTTTCTGGAATTGCCATAAATAAGTTGCTTGTTATGATATAAACAAATGTAATTTCCAATATTTTTGCTGACATCCAAATTAAGGCTTTTTAGCACTGTAAAAATGTAACTAATTTGAGATATAATATCTCATTCAAGTGATTGGCCCAAATACATTTTGTGGCGTACACACAGCCATTTTAATTTTGAGAAAGGTTAAAGTTGATTGTACATGAATTGGTATTTTCTTAACCAAAATGTGTGAAGGCCTATTTGCTTTGTTATATTTACCTCAAGTGTGATGGTCTTGCCCGTGAGGGTCTTTACAAAAATCTGCATAATGAACCACCAGAGACCTACAATTAAATGAATAAGAAAATACAGTTAGACCATGGAATTAGTTTCAGTTTTATCAAGAGACATGCTCGAAATTGGTTATTAATTATCAACTGTACAGGTTGGGACCCCACATCCATATTGGATAAAAATAAATGTTAAGTCATTTTAAACAAAGCAGTAAAATGATTGTACAAGATATCCTTAGTACCAAATGCTGGTGCAATACTCGGATCACAATTGTTATCTTTCCATCAGGTATTAAATTATAGATACAGATGCACAATAATCAATACACCTTATTGCTATTTATTCCATTCAGGAAAAGTTCTAAAATTACACAACTCTTTCAAACCAGTTGAAGCTATCTGGGGCCCTGTTTATGTACTGTGCATTAAAATTTTCAAAGAGTTATGTTTAAGGACGAGAAAAAAAAAATCTGTGTTTCCGGTAACCCGACCGACCCTGTTTTTTTAGCCCAGACCCTAATTTTTTTATTGGATCTTCAAAAAAAAAAAAAAAAATTGGTATCAACCGACCCTGTTTTTGACACAGGCTTCTGTTAATCGACATAATTATTTATCTAACTGCACAGAAAGCCAGTAAAACATTTTATTTATGTCAAAAGGTATTCCAAATAGGTTAAAATCCAAGAAATTTGCACAGCAGGTGCTTCAAAAACATTGCAAATGGCCGCACTTCCGGTATTTGAAACTAATTACGGACACGGACTTGGAAAAACCATGATAACCGGATTTCGTTTACAATGTCAAAAAAAAAAAAAAAAAAAAAAAAATCCGACCTACTGACCCTATTTAACAAAATGATGTTACCGGAAACACAGATTTTTTTTTTAGGCATAAACAGGAACATATATATTGACGGGACTTGACACTACCTGATTGTAGTCGATTTTATCGTCGTGCCATAGTTAATAAAGATACGATACAGAAACGGACATGTGTTAAAAACGGACTCGCTATTATTCTAATAATTTCTGATATTATCAATAAAATGTCATTCAAACTAGTTTCATAGTGATGCTAGTGTATCAAACTTGTATTCTGTCACTTCAAATTTGTTAAAATCGCAAGCATTTCATCACAGAATTGTGCAGAATGCAAACCAGGTAATAAAAAAATGGCAGCCATTGCCGCGATGATTTACAAATTCCCAAACTATTATAAAACACTTCACATCAAATAAATCAAACTTATTTTGGTAATTTTATATGACAAAATATATCTACTAAATGATAAAACTTGTATTTATTTACAATTAAAGTTATGTGGTTTATTTGTTGAACAGTTCTGATATTTTTTCAGTCAGACGCTACCAAGATCCGTAATTCTCGGGAAGTCCGAGATTTTATCAATTTTATACTGAAAAGCGTTTCAGATTCATTTCCCGTTAGATATATTGTTCCCAGGTTTAAATAAACCATTGTACACACTTCAAACAAAGCATTTTTCTTACTTTAATTTGTGTTTAAAAAATTGGATCATGACATAAACTATACAAATTTCAAAATGTTCACTTTCTACATGTTTTCCACCTTCAGCTCGTTACTGATGACCTTTTTTATTACGTTACTTGAACGAAACAGGAAGTTGTCTATGTGACTGTTTTTCTCGTACTGGATTAAATTGCGATAAGGTGTATTGACACATCTTGTACTCGTAATGGTATATTGTACTTTATAATTTTTGGGGTTCTTTGATAAAGAGTAATAAAACTGACACATGGTTTTAAAGGACCATGTAAATTATTTTGTTACTAGGGTAAAAAACAATTCTAGGGAGATTGTTTGATGGGGTAATATTATTACAGACCTCGTACTCAGTCATAGTGGATGTACCTAAAGTGCAATGTAAATTATTGTTACAGAGGCCATGATTTTTCGTGGAGGTATATGGTAGGGGTAATTGTGAACAGCCCTAACAAGTGGAAAAACCCAAAGAGCAATGAAAATTATTGTATTACAAGGATAACCGTAAACCCACGTGGTTTCAACATGAGGCATGTCGGAACTGTGAAATGGTAAAATTTCTTTATTAGCAACAATCAGAGGACTTATTCTCATGTGTTAATTTAAAAAATTTATTTAATTGTTTAAAGTCATAGCAAAAATGTTTATTTAGAGAATTAAAATCCCAGAAAAAGAGATATTTAAGTCAGCTACCAGGTACACTCGATGGCGGTCGATGGGAAAAGGAAGTGCTCGGCAATCAGAAATCTCTAAACCACTTTTATTATTGTAATGATTGATATTCATATATACGTGTTTGTATATTCACTTTACATTTTAATTTTGATATGAAAATGTAAGGAAATCATTTTTAAATTATTGTATATCTATATATCTTGTTTATTAGAGGGTTATAATGTAAAGGCAAGATTTCATTTTGTGATTTTATTTTTTTAGTGTTAAAATTTGCGTTTGTGAGATAACTCCCACCTTGCTCTGTGTCTTCTGGTTGCATTGAAAAGTAATCTGTTCGAGGTTAAAAAAAACTTTATGCTAGTTTTGCTATTTATTTTCAAACCAAGAAAATATATAGTCTTCACTGTCGAGAAACATTCAGTTTTTAGTTTTGTTTAACTGTTTCAAAAATTCGCCTGGAAACCGGCCAACCAGACAATGCATTTAATTGTTACAAATAAATAGAAATACAAAACTGCATTTTAATTTTAAAAAATAAGCTAGAAGAAACTTTTTTTCTTTTGAAATTGAATTTTCAAATAGGGGCATTTTTTTTGTAAGCATTCTATAACTTAAAGTAATAGGGAGACAGACTATTTTAGTGAAGTAAAGACCAGACTTGTATTTGGTACACCGATATATCATGTGTGCCTCCCTAAATTGTGTATTGTTCAATCGTGTTAGCGATGATCATATAGATATAAAAGGGATGGTTTATTAAAACTAACAAGTAAACTAATTTCCCGACACATTTTCAAACTGTAATTTTAGGCCACTTTCATGGCATTTTGCTAGTGAATCAAATGCAAATAGAATAATAAACAAACTTCAGATGAAAGCTGTTAGGTTTAAATACAAGGGTTATCTTTTATATTATGATAATGATTACTGATTGTAACTCAAAACTTGCAACTGCCCTCCTTCAAAATTAGACGCATGAAAACGATTGCGTTAGAGATTTTTTACTTCACGTCCCGCACTATATTCGGCGTCTGCTAACATGTTTAACCACGCCACATTCTGTATGTGCCTGTTCCATGTCGGGGGCCTGTAATTTGTTACTGTATATCATCGGGGCCTTTATAGCTTGCTATGCGGTATGGGTTTTGCTCATTATTGAAGGCGGTACGGTGACCTATAGCTGCTTAAGTTTTACTTCTACTTCTACGTCATTTGGTCTCTGATGGAGAGTTTTCTGTCTTATTGGCAATCATACAACATCTTTAAGGGGGAAGGGGGGGGGTCTGATCCCGGATTTTGCTTATTGTTTTGTCAGAATCCCGTATCCCGCTTATCATTGTAATGATAGCGCTTGTAATTTTACGTGTCCCGCCCGACTTTGTTTCCTGTTTTCACGCGAAATAATTTGACTTTCACGTGTCTCGCTTACAAAAAATTGGCCAATCCCGCATCACGCTTAGACCCCAATGAGACCCACATCAAGTGTTGTTTGATCGTTATTGGATATTTGTGTCACAGATGACCACGGACATGTTTAAATTGTCGATCGTTACTACAACCCCGTCCTCTTATCTTAATTGTGACATGACCGCGAGTGAGACGCGTTATTGAATTTGTACTTACCATGATGAACAGGACTGGTTCCACATAATTGTTGAGAAGGATTTGCTTACCATTTTGGAGCACTGGAAAAAACCCTAGTTTTTGATGGGGTTCGTTTTTCCTTAGCCTTTAGTTTTGTATGTAGTGTTTCGTGAACTCGTTTGCATGTCTTTTTGTCGTCGTTTGTGTTTTTTAATTGACCGTTGTCACTTTATCTCGACTTTTGTTTTTTGAATGTCACATCTTACCGTCTGTTTTTATCTTGTAATCTTTTTTTAAAAAGTTTTTAATAATATTTCTATCATATACAGTTGAAAATCAACATCATAAAACATAAGGGTTGACTTGACCGGTGAACAAAATAAGCAGGGTTTAAAAAATCTTTAGACGGCGTGCACAAAGTTGAAGGCAACTGTAAAAGGCGCTTTTAAAAGTAGTTTTATACAACCGTGTTTAAAATATCTTTTAAATAGGAAGTTTTTTTTATGATAAAATGATGAATGCTAGCCATTAAAATCCACATTTCTAATAAGGTTATCAAAATTAAATCTATAAAGTATGAAACGAACATAGAGAAAACGGCAAAAATATGTGAAACTTGTAACATTAAATAGGCATAAAATAGAGTTTTAGGCCTAAAATTTATACAAATTCAACATATTTTCCCGCATTTTCGTATAATAGAATTTTTCAGATTCGGACTATGACGTCATTCGAAATTCACCGCATAAAAATAAAAAAACGGCCATGCTGGATGAGTTTGGAATGTAGTTCGTTATGTGTAAGAAGTAGTAATTTGGAAGGATTAATATTCGAAATGGAAGAATCGGTAAGAAAAAATATTTCATTGCTATTTTTTTATTTCAAAATAACTTGATGTTCCAAATGTGCATTACAAGAGGGTTAAAAAAATCTGCAAAATATGAATGATTCGATAGTCCAGGCTGAACACCAGAATTTTTTTAATGTCCAGCTATTATGTTACAATTTAAAGAAATGACGTTTTAACGCTATTTTCTGAATAGGGTCCACGACATAGTCGCTTATTATTTCCATTACACTGCTCTTAGCATATATTTATTTATATTTCCAGAATGTGCATATGCTGCACTTTGTTGTTAAAAAAAAAGAAATATGTTGAAGGTTTATGTTTAAAGCTTTGTGATAAACTAAGTGTCCAGTTTTTTTGTTACGCGTTTGTTTTCTGGGAAAAAAAGCCGACGTCGTAAATGATTGAAGTAATTTGAAGACGTTACGTTTGTGGACTCAGCTTTAAGATACAAGACAAAAGACACTTTATTATGCCAATCGCGGCAATTACTGAGCAGAACAATATTTATTACAAAAAACGATATACAATATTTTGAACTAAATAAAAATAACAAAAAAAATGGTTATATTGTTATAAAACAAGGTTTCATACAAATAGAATGTAGAAAATAAAAACATAAGAAAATGAAATGATCTTCAAAATTTAAAACTTTTTGTGAGGAACACACGGTAACCTAAGACCAAATCAGTCATGAATCTCTGAATTATTCTTACAAATTTTTTTAATAGATTATCTATCAGTTTTTGGTTTGATTTCAATAGTTCTGCAACCAGACGAATTTGTTTTAATCATTCAAGCTATTAAAATTTATTTTATTTCTGGATTTAAACGCTTTTCATAAAATGGACATTTGGAAAGAAAGGGTACTTCATCCTCTACGGCGTTGCGGCATAACTTACAAATTCGTTTGTCTGCCTCAGTCTACTCCATTACACATTGGATATTTTAGGTCATTCAATTTTTAAGTAGATCTTATGCTGATGGCCATTTTTTAGGAATCAACTAATAATTTCAGTCATATTGTCATTTAATTGTCGATCATGTCTTGCTGATTAGCATCTACGTGTCAATTTCAAATGAATGGTCACTTATACAAAATTAAGACAATAGTCATGTTTGCTCCCTATTTCTAGTGATGAGATAAGGTTCAAATATCAAAATCAAATTTAAATTTTTCATATGAACTTGGCATGACTTTGTTATGACAGTTTGATTTTTTTAACTTTATCATTGAAAAAGTTAAATTTCCAGATTTTTAAAAACTTGGAGATAGAGTTCTGTTTAAATTCCTTTAGTTATTTCAAGGTCATAACCTTTGAAAAATGAATTAATTTATATTATTTTACTAATTTATTCTTTGTGTTTTTTGAATATCATTCCTTTATTCTTTGTGTTTCCGGAAGTTATCATTTCGTCTGCACTTCCGGTATGGCTTCCAAGCAGAAATACACACGATTAGAATCAGAAATTGAACGCTATCGTTCAGAAGCTAATTGGGCAAAAGCTGTTGAAACAGCCCAGTTCTTAGCTACAAAAAATCAAGGCCTTGGTAAAATTTTTCTTTTTAATTCCTCAAACTAAAAACCCCCCAAAAAAGCATCTTTTAGTTTTACAAAAAAATCATAAACACAAACAAGGCCATAATAACTGGATATCATGACAAAATGCTGACATCGACATAACCCCAGATATATGTACAATCATCTTCAGAAAATCTCTAGAAACATGCAAAGTACCATCAGGCTGGAACCATAACAATGCTACTCCAGTAATGCAGTATTTAAAAAAGGAGACAAACATCATCAAGGCATCATGGAAATTATATATCCTATGTATAATTAAAGTACAAGTGAGTTGTTTACAAGAGTGAAAATTGTACATGCTAGACTTCAATATTTACAAGAGAGATAATCCAGTGTCAACAGCGACACCTATAGAATACAGAATATCCTCGTATTATGGGTTTTCGTACTATTTATAATGCATTGTGACTTCACAATTTCCATTGAAAAAGCATGCATAGTACGAATTCATATGACGTACGAAAAACATATGATCTGACGATACAGACCAAGATCGCTCACTTGCATCTCATGTAAATTACTTGAACATATAAGATGAAACACCTTGAGACAAATTCAATACTCCATGAACTACAACACTGCATCAGAGCAAAACGATCATGTGAATAACAGGTTATATCTCTTGTATATCAACTCAAAACAATGATAAAAAAACATACAAACTAATCAAGTAATCATGGATTTTGCAAATGCAAAAAGCCATTTGGTTAAGTGTCGCGCAAACTCTTACTTTACAAATAAGGGCACTACATCATTTTATATCAGACAACAAAATGGATTGAATCATTTCTGTCCAACAGAACTTAAACAGTAGTCCTTGAAAACACATTTAAAAAAATGTCAATAACATCTGACATTCCTCAGGGCACTGTACTAGGTATTAACATAATAGGCTTATCTGAATACTTAAAACTTAGCCAAATAATTCTTAACTGGCCTATTGCCTGCCAAAACAATTACATTTATAAGTTTCAAGAAGACATTGAAGCAGCTATAAAATGGGAGAAAGACTTGCTCATTTCATTCCACCTGGACAAATGGAACATCCACAGAGTCTCAACTAAAAAAAAAATTTATTTCTAGCAAGAATCAACAATAAAAATGATAAATTTTACTTCATTTTTCTTTCAGCATTATTTGTAAATCTAATTCTTGGAGAAAGTAAACTAGAGGAATATTTACTGGAAAATGAACCAATAGAATCCAATATAACAAAAGCCAAAACACAGTTAGGTGAAGGAGAGACATATTTACAGTTTGTTACACAACAAGATAATAAGGTACTTAACATAGAAGTATGTGGATCTACTGTTTCTATTTTACTGATGAATGGCGAATCGTTTTATTTTAGGAAATGTTCATGTTGACTAAGAGATAGGTATAACATTTTGATCACATTTTTCTCTTGTCTGTAAGGAAATGACAATCTGTGACAGATTTTGTATGTCAAAAGTAATTAAAAATACTAAGTTTCTTGCTACTGACAACAGCTGTTCTCGAATCAAAACAGTTTGAAGGCCAAATTAATTACTTGTACAAAGTTAAAGAGCATTGAAAGCAAGAAATTTCAAAAAAGTTTGCCAATCTGGCTAAAACCATCTAAGTCTTAGGATGAAAAAACCATTATGTTTCAAATTTCAATATAATATGTTGATAAAAAAAATGCTTCATTGTCCAACAAAGTTTTGAGAAACATTAAAAATTTGTGCTGTTGATACATTTTAAATACTCTCCCCCTGGTAGGTAAAATTATAGGAGAGAGAAACAATACTTGATTTTTTTGTCAGTGTTGTAATCTGCATTTTACTTTGGAGGATTTTTTTTTGTCACCTTCATACCTTAGAACTGGAGCTCAACTTGTTTTATGGAGGCTAAAACATTTATGTATTTGATAATTTAAGAGGATAGAAAGTGATGCTACTGTTTGTGGAAATTTGTTGTTAAAGGGCATGTTTTAGATTTTTTGCAAAACTTTAAAAGAGCTGTTTTTTGGTTGACAGGGTTATGTAAGTATATGTTTACTTCTACTTTTATGGAAGGATAAAGGTCAAGATCACAATAATAACCTGTAAATTCTTTGCATAACAATGGCTACTTCTCCTCTGATATCATTTGTCTTAAGTCATTAAATAGTATTTTTATCTATTGTAATAAAAATTCACAATATCCAATAAAATAAGTAGGTTTGGCAAACTAAGTCTTTATAATTGAATAAAGTAACATTAATGTTCCAAATAAAAATTGTGTGCTAGACACTTTCTGTGATTAATGTAAGATTAATTTTTCAACAATTTATCACTCTGGGGATATAATAAATTTGACTTATCGTATATAGTCTTTTTCCAAAAAGTTCAAATGCTTATTAAATGTAGGTTTCATTCATAATTTTTCTCTTAAACATTTAACATAAATTTGAAGGTTTTGGAAGATAGTTCATGGTTGTGGTGTTTTGTATATCACTGTGTGTGTAGGTGTTACAAAGCATACATGCACATGTCTTTATGGAATCAAGTCAAGCAAACAAATTAAGACAATATGTCTGCTTCATTTGAATTATAACACTGTTATAGACACAATCTTAAAAAAAACTAAACATATGCTTTTACAAGTAGCAGGATCAATGCTGATCAATGCTGATGCTTTTACAAGTAGCAGGATCAATGCTGATCAATGCTGATGCTTTTACAAGTAGCAGGATCAATGCTGATCAATGCTGATGCTTTTACAAGTAGCTGGATCAATGCTGCTAGGGATTCGTGGATGCAAACAACAACTTAAAACATTTTATTCCTGCCCAGCAGAATAACTACAGATGGGGAAAATGTACCAAATGTAATACCCCTAATAAATGTAGTTTTGAGTAGGGTTGCCTATTCACACAATGTAATTTGAAAATTAGCTTAATAGTATTTATAAAAATATGAAAGTTTCTTTATATTGGTCTATAATATTTTTAAATGTATCAAAACAAATAAATAAATTAATGAATAAAAATAAATGTCTTTTATAAACAAATTATAAATACTAAAATCTATTGAATTTTATCAATTTTGTAATGATTTTAAATGCAATCAAATAACTATATGTAAAAGTGAAATAATGAACCTATTCAAGGCAGACAATTAACTCATTAATTTGCAGGACTTGTTTGAATTGGAACAAATGGATATCACTCTGGCACCAATATAACATACAGTCTTTTATCTATTGAATGGTGACTGCTAACGAATGCTAACCCACAGTAAAGTATATTTGTTTGAAATTTCTTCAAACCTACTCAGAAAAATGCTTGAGCTACTTGATATTCATAGCTCATAATTAACGTGTTTTCAAATTACTTTAATTTATTCTTTTAAACATTATTTGCCTCTAACTGTCTAAGAAACAATACAAATTGTATGCTTGCATCAACTTACCAAAATAAAGAATTAATTAAAGCCTGAGCATTTTTTTTTAATCAGTGATGGTTTATACATGCCCGTTTAAGGGACATATTATGGTATACTGTTGTCTGTTTGTCTGTCCGTCTGCAACATGTCGGACAATAACTCAAAAACGCTTTAACCAATTTGCATGAAACTTTGATGAATTGTTTATATCTATTGATGTGAGCTCCCTTTTGATTATTTTAAATGTTAGATTTTACGTTTCAGAGTTATGGGGTTTTATTCATTAAAAAATGGGTATTTTCCAGTTTTCAGACAATAACTCAAAAATGCTTTGAGCAGTTTTCATGAAACTTTGGTGAATTGTTTATATCTATTGAAGTGAGCTCCCCTTCGAATTTTATAAATTTTAGATTTTACGTTTCAGAGTTATGGGGTTTTATTCATTAGAAAAGAAGGATTTTCCAGTTTTCGGACAATAACTCAAAAATGCTTTGAGCAGTTTTCATGAAACTTTGGTGAATTGTTTATATCTATTGAAGTGAGCTCCCTTTCGAATGTTATAAATTTTAAATTTTACGTTTCAGAGTTATGGGGTTTTATTCATTAGAAAAGGAGGATTTTCCAGTTTTCGGACAATAACTCAAAAGTGCTTTGAGCAGTTTTCATGAAACTTTGGTGACTGGTTTTTATAAATTTCAGAAACGACATTGAGGAGTTATTGAACTTTGTTCTTTGAAAAAGCAACGGGCGTATCATGCACTCATGGTGCAGCTCTTTATTTAATATTATCACAACTTCCAGTTAAGATTTGACTAAGTAGCCATATCCCGATATCGTCAAGTAGAATCGCTAAATTAAACAAAAAACGTATGTATTGATTACTTTTAGTTTGTGTATATGGTTTTGAGGGATTATATAATGCATCCTGCATAGTTCTCACTAAGGATTTCTGAAGGTGAGTCCAGCCTGAGGGACTCATTATTTTCGGCCTTGAGGACTCATGGGATCCCCTTAGTGAGAACCCTGGAAACCTGTACAAATATAGCAACAAGAAATAAAGATTGTTGCTTTTTAATTGTTTGTTTGTCTTACTGAAGGTATTAGATTTATTTCAGCATTACGTGGAGGCCAGTTTACTTCAAGCTAAGATCCATTACTGCAAAGGACTTTATCAGTCGGCCATAGATGTCTACAACAGAGTCAAATTAGATGAAATAAAGGAATCACAAGTCACCTCCAGTAGGTTATTATGTATTCTGGCTGAGTCACATGCTATTAAAGGTAAGTCTCTTTTAAAAGGTTTTTATATATTCCTACGTAGTCACATTCAATTAAAGGTAAGACTCTTTTGATAGATTATTGTATATTTTTGCAGAGTCACATATCATTAAAGCAAGCACCTTTTAATAGGTGATTATATATTCTTACTGATTTGTTTTACGGGTACATGTTATATTGATGTGTCACTTGATAGCATCAAGCTGGAGCAACAAATAATGAGTCACTTGATAGCATCAAGCTGGAGCGACAAATAATGAGTCACTTGATAGCATCAAGCTGGAGCGACAAATAATGAGTCACTTGATAGCATCAAGCTGGAGCGACAAATAATGAGTCACTTGATAGCATCAAGCTGGAGTGACAAATAATGAGTCACTTCATTTGTCTTGTGTCAGTGTTGTCCACTTTACACTAGAAATCTGCAGCTCCTTGAAAATGGTTCGACAGAATTCAACAATTCTTGCATAGATTCTACAGGACTTAAATTTGTGCATCTGCTTAGCTGCTATTAGTTGGTTTTCCCATACCAAATCACGGTCGATTTCTGCTTACTAAAAATTAGTTTGTATGACTAAAAAAAATCTTTTTTCTCATTGGCGTCATGCCAATTCTTGATATTTTTCTTTCCTTCTAGTTTTAGGTATATTTTTTCTGCACTTTTTTGGTGTACTTTTTTTTAGTAAATTTTATTGAATATTTCAACTTATGAAAGTTATCAACTGGCAAAGCAGATGATATATTTAGTATAAAAACAAGTATCAGTTTGAAATATATCTTGAGAAAATACTAGAAAATTGGAGAAAGATAAAAAGTCATATAATAAAACAATTATTGACTTTTGATGAGGTTAATACAATGATTTATCAACCCCAGGGATATGATATTCACCGAAGCCAACTCCTTAAAAACAGGTTAACAGAATTCAGCCATACTTGCACAGATTCATTTACAGGACATGAGGTGCATCTGCTACTTCGATTTTTGGAGTTTCCATACCAAAAATGGACTTTTCAATTTTTGCTGCTATTATTTGGAGACAATAGGCAACACATCTTCATTGGAAGACTCAAATATTTTTTGATAAATGTACAAAACCTAGTTGCAATTTATTGAAAGATGCATTATGTGGTCTGAATTGGTACACATGTATTATACAATTATTTAATTATTCCCTTTGAAGTATATATAATGTGTGACAATTTATCTCCCTTGGCAAAATACCTCTCAACAGCTTGCTGTTCGGTGTGAGCCAAGGCTCCATGTTGAAGGCCGTACTTTGACCTATAATTGTTTACTTTTTACACATTGTGACTTGGATGGATAGTTGTCTCATTGGCACTCATACCACATCTTCCTATTTATATCTTCTGCAGTACTGGTATATGAATCTATTCATCACAATGTTTAGAGCCTTGTTTGACAAAATATGTATTAGCTTAACATCTACTTTCAATTGAATTAAAACCCTGATTATATTTTAATTAAAAATTTCAGGTTTATGCTTAGAAAAGATCGGTCCAAGTACAACAAGCAAATTTAAACAGGTCGATTTGGAAGACAGAATAATAGAATGTTTTGAGAAAGCTGGAGACTTAGCCCTGTCTTATTTACAAGATGTGGATAATTCCTCTACTGACATAGAGTTAGGAGTTATACTGGAAACAGCTATTCAACAATCACCATTATTACATATGAAGAGGGGGTATGTATCATTGATAATATTTATTACGATGTGTGTGTGTCTTCAGAGACATGTGTATATTGAAAATGAATGAATAAGGCCATTTCTCCAGGAAATCAGACCTAGGGTCATTAGTCTAGGGAGTGTATTGCTATAGCAATCCAGTAAAACTTTCCCATTTATAATGTAGTTTTATAGTGCCATCTTAAAGAATTACAATTAAAGATATACACATGACCATTGATTTATATGAAAATAACATTAAAGTTTCTGTTTGTTTGTAGGGATATTAGTAAAGGCGTTGCTAGATTGAGAGATCTGTTAAGGACAATTGAATCCAGATTCACACAAGGACTGAGATTGGTAAGTATTACTAATTAAAGAATCATTTGAAATGAACACTTGAACCTTATTGGAAATTCCCTCCCCATACAAGATGGTGGCTTTAAGTTTACGTCTAGTGGGTAGAAATTGACTAGTCTCATACGGATGACTACCCGGTATTGTCGATTCAGAAATTATTGCAAGGTTTTTATAAATGCTAATAATGATACTTGGCCTGTATCACAATAATGAAAACCTTTTTATGATATATGAGATATAGATCTACATACAGCTTTTCCTGAAGTCGCAATAATTAATCTGGAATTTTTTATGTGCATGTCAAAATTACAATAATAAATGCTGGCAATAATTTCTGAATTTACAGTTCTACAAAATAATTGTCGAGAGTGGATAAATATCGTATTACACGAGATTTGGTGGTGGAATCTGTTTCTCTAATGATTTTCAAACAATATGCAGGCAAACTTATTCCATCTTTTCGAATGATCTGTAAAAAGATGTGTTCTTTCTATGTGACATCATCAGGCATGGTCGCCTTTTTTCATGCCGTCACAATAGGATATTCAGAGGAAAGCAAGTAAATTCAACGTCATAATCGGATTTTAACCAATGAAGAACTGAGATCAAACGAACCACACGTTGATTAAATTTTTTTTATACAATGGGTGCAGAAAGGGATAAATTGACGAAGCATTAGAGAAAATATTATAATAACCAATGTAATGAAGAACAGTTTGTTATATTCCATTAGTTTTTACTGCGAATAAAATTGTCTGAGTAATTTCATCATGATGATCTACCTGTTTGTAGACTTTGGCAAGACAACTGGCAGAGGTTTTACTAAGAGGAATTAATGAGAAGAAATATGTTCCAATGGGCATAGAGGAAATCGCAAAGACAAAGCATCAGAAATATAGAAAATACTCAGGAGAAAAGTAATTATTAAATTCCTAGTGTTGTTGACATCTGATGGACTTCTTTCTTTTATCTTAAAAAACCTAAGGATGATTATGTAGCAGATACACATATTTGTATATTGATGTAGTATTCAGTTGTCAGATCTAACCTTATATTGGTACTAGCTGAAATATTAGAAATCATTTGAATTTTTTTTTTAATGAAAAAAGGTGAGGGGGAAGTTAATTCAAACAATTTAGGAACTCTACTTCAAATTTTTATACATTAGTTTGCTATTTCTCCACCACATCAGGACAACACAGACATTTCAGTAAACTTTTAGACATTGCAAGAAAAAATGTTTTGACCAAACAGTTCGAAAGTGTTTTTTTTATTGATGTTGCAGAATCTTTGGTCAAGTGTCACAGAATATTTAATAGCAATAAATTCATATAAAGTTTATATCCAAATGCTTCAGATTACAAGGAGTAAATTAAAGATATTTCAGAAATTAAATGTGATTTTGGTGATTTCAGGTTATTTGTGCCAGAAAATGAGAATGAAGAATCTTTGCTGTTATTATTGATAGCTGAAGCTATAGTAAGTACTGGTCATGTTAGATATGTAAAAAGACAAATATACACTCCCATTTTATTTTTTAAACTTGATTCAAATGAGAGGTGATTAGCATGAGAAACATACTTATACTAAGTCTTACACTCCTGCTCTATTTCCTTGTCCTTTTATCCAGCAAATATTTTCATTGCACTTTTCTCTGAACCTAATAAACAGAATGACTGTATATTTGGTCAGCAGCTAATCAGATATTAGTTTAACCCTAGTACTGCAGGACGTTGATATAGTGATTGCCTATATAACTTTACTCTACTGCCGGTCGTCTATATATTGATAACTTCCAGTAGTTTCATTCAGTGCCAGTCGTCACTATATTAACTTTCTATATAAAGTAAAGGTTTCGAGTTCTAGCCAATCAAATCACACAGATATTTTTATTTTAAGTCCATATTACGTCAGAAGAAGGATTTCCCTGTAGAAAGATGTTTTTCATTGGTTTCTTCCTGCATTCCATTCTAAAATTATTTTGATGACAAAATTGACCCTGTAGTTTGTTTACATTCGAGTATGAAACAATGGAAGTGGTTGTAGAAGTAGCCGACAGGGACACGTTTTTATAGAAAGTAGACCATAAAAATTGTGATGTGAAAGAGAAATATTTCTAAAAGATGATTCTGACGAAGAATTTATAGGTTTTGATGAGGATAATCTAGAAAAGGACGAAAAAATAGCGCTGTTTTAGGATACATAGAAACCTGGATACACGTGGTCTCGCTTTTGATTCTGAAAAGAAGTTAAACTTTGATGTTTGAGAAAATACAGAGATGAAAGATTTCTTACATTTATAATTATTAATTAAGATTTCATAAATAAATTAGTTGAAGAAACAAGTGGATGCACACTAGACTATTTTGAGTCGGAGCAAGGACAACAATATTGAAAAGTAAAATAACGATTTACAAGAAAAATTCACACACATGGTTTAATTTATTGGACGGTGTCAACTAGGTTGACATGAAGCAGTTCGTCATAAAATGAATAAAATATATTATTGGTCTTTTTTGTGCTAATCAAATGAGTTATACAAATATTTTTAATAATCAAATAAATAAAAATGTAATTTTTCAACTTTCATTTGATATATCTAAATAATTTCATAATCCACTTTCACTTATTTTATACAGTGAAATTCTGCAATCAATTCTGCAAAACAAACTCATTTAATGTTACTTTTTAAAATGTGAAAAAATCATAGAAAATGAATAAAACAATAACATAGTGTAACACTGAAAAATTTCTCTAAAACAACTCAGCACAGTGAGATGCAGAGGCTAATTAGCATCATAGCATTGCAGTGAACTGATAATTTATTTATAGCTGGCAGTACTAGGGTTAAAAGGTATGTGATTTTCAGATCTGTTAGACACATACTTCCTGTTTCTGAGACTTTGAATTATAAGCGGGAACATGCTTAGTTTGACAACACATGCAACTTTTTATTGCAGGCTACCATTACAGTTTTTTAAGGAAAAGAAAGTAGAGATAACTAGTTCAAACAATTAAGGATTTCTATTTCAAATCTTTATACACCATTTTTCTATTTCATCACGGTTACAGGACATCACAGAAGTTTCAATGAAATTAGACATTCCAAAAAGTTGAGACAAAAAAAATATATATAGCAAGTATCAAATTCACTTTAGTTTGAATTTTAGAATTATACTTGTTCTTACATTAAACATACTTTATTAAATGAACAAACACATGCTGTCTGCTTAAGTATCTTTTGTTTCTTTACATTATTGAATAAAATCTGCTACTTTTGTATACACACATTAGATTATTATTACACGACAGATGAATATCAAAAAGTTTTTTGATTTTTTATAAATTTTATAACAATAGGTCAATGACACTTATATCAAAACATGATTAAAAATAAATTTAATTTATGATACTTTTACAGTATAAGTAACTCAAATATGATAATTATAACAGGCCACAAGAGAGGCAGTTTTAAACAGAACAGAAGAATATCATGATGCCAGACTTCACAGCTTACAGAATGCTACAGCTGTTTATGATCTTCTTGCAATAGCTTTAGTAAAGAGAGCACAGTTTAACAAACTTTCTGATGTAAGTATGAATTTTGAAAATGTTAGTTAATATATATATTTACACCTTGTGATCAGTTTATTTGGCAATCGCCAATGGCAGTCAGCAGGGTTTAAGAACATTTGTTGTTCGACCTGTTAGTCAAATGCGTTTTGTTAAAATATACTTTTTCACTTTTTTGGTCTTTTGGAAAATGTTGTTTGTGCTGGATTTAGATCCCCCTAACAAGAAATTTGTTTTGCATGCACACGTATAAAAAATACGGTTTTTATCCAACGCAATCATAGGTTTGAATGTTGTTTTCAATTTAGACTTGTATATGTCTATAAAAAGGACTAACCAGCCAATTTACTATGTACCGGATCGCCTAGAATAGACGATACTGTGCAGATAAGGAAAAAATTATATAAGTCTAGAGATTTGCACAACGATACTAATATAAGATGGTATTATACGAAGATGTTGTTATTAAATAGTGTTGACAAATATTTCGGCTTAACAAATAGCCTTCGTCGGTGTCAATATTTTTAACAATACTGATTATATGTATAAAAATAGCTCAGTAATACAGGTAAGTTTTGGTCTATTGATTTAATCCAAAATCCTGAACATCATAATATAAAACAAAACTCAATACTCAAATATACGTGACTGTGTATATTTACATCCCAAAATGAGTGAAAAATAAAACTTAGTATTTTTTATTGATGCCGTTTGGATGATGTACATTTAGTTCCTTTATCCAAAAGCTTTCCCGAACCTGTATCTGGGCATCACTCCAGTGAATGTTCTGTTCAATCACTAGGATCTTCATGCGGTTAAAGTCATCAAGTTTGTGACCTGATTGTCTGAAATGCTGAGAATACCGACGAAGGATATTTGTTAAGCCGAAATATTTGTCAACACTATTTAATAACAAATTTTTAGACTTATATATATATGTATGATCAAGAAATTGCATAAAGATGTTTTTAATATAGCAAAAGTAATAGATTAGAAGAAAATCCTATTTTTCTGTCATCTGGAAATGGGTTCAAGAGATTTCTTATTGGTGAGAAGTTTTGGATCTCCTTATTTTCATAATCAAAATATTTTTGCCAGTCTTTCATTAAAAGTTTAGGGCATTACAACAAGTCTATCACAATATTTGTTATAATCTGCAAAGGGGTGATGTATACCTGTCAACCTCTGAAACTGAAAATGCAGGTCATGACCTGCATTGAGGAAGAAAATGTCAGGTCATAACGCGTACAAACTTTTTTTCTGTTCAATTTTAGTATTTAGAGTTTTTTTTATATACTATAACGTATACATGTACCACTGAGTTTCCTACAAATATTCACTTTTGTATTTGTTAATTATATAAATATTTATCTTTAATTAAATATCTTTCTAAAGCAATGCCCTGTTATTGTTTTATTTACACTACTTTTTATTAATGAATGTCATAAAGACCAGCTATACATGTAATTAGAAATCAGTTATAGCTAATGTGCTCCTATACACAGGAGAAAGATGAATAGAAAGAAGTTAGTGTGTTTTCAACAGAAATGTATTAAAAGGTTCGAAATGGTTTAAAATGATTTTTATAGGATAATTGATATTTGTAAACGGCAAATCTTTTAATCAGGACATAGAATTGTATGTCAAGCTTGACTGGCTTCAACTTTCTGGGGTACAATTAACAAAACAGTTCTCGAATTGTTACTTTCCAATCAAATGTAATGTTTTGATAGCTGTCGTCGGCATGGTAAATAAGCAACTCCTAAGTTTGACTTTTCAATTGTTTACCTTTTCAAAGGAAAAAAGCTGATACAACCGAACCTATATTTGACCTCTAAATACAGGCAACAATACCGGTCAGAAATACGGGTGAAAACGGGTCATTTTCTGAAATCCCGGGTTATTTGAATACCCGGCAAGTATTTTAAAATTCCCGTGTGAAGGGGGAAATTTACTGGTATCACCTGCAGAATACGGGTCAGTTGACAGGTATGGTGATGTGTCACTTGCTGACTCCATATATAAAATGCAAGTTTTGAAAGTTTAATTTGAGTTATTCACCTTTCCCACATGTAGTATACAGAGCTATGTTAAGAATTGCTATTATACGAATAATGAATGTTATAATCTGGATTACTTATAAGATTATTGAAGAAGAAGAAGAGTGCTTACTTTAAGTTAATTTGAAAGTAAAATTCTGTGGATGTACATGTAATAATTATTTGATGGGCATTAATTATCGTGTACCCCGGTATTTTCCTAGAATTTTAAGGTCCAACAAAATATAAATTCACCATTATGCGTTTCTACAGAATTTGTCAAAACCATAAAAATCTAGTATCCACTAAAATACATTAGTTTCCTAATTGGTGTCCATGAAAAAATACAAAATACCAAATATTACAAGAGAGTAAACAGAGAATGTCTGTTTCTCACCATTGCTCTTCTTTGCTTTGAACCAGTGTTACATTTCACAAAGGGCAATAATTCACATATCAACTGATAATGTCACAGTCAAATCTGTACTTTAGAAATATCTTTCCTGAAAAAACTTTAATACCAATAAAACTTTCAAGTAGGGAAATTTGATTGTGATATTCATTAGATGAGGTGTAATGGCCCTTGTATAAGGGAGGAAAATTATTTAATCCAAGACCTATATAATCTATTAAAATGTATTTACATGTTTAAAAAGTGTGCACAAGATAACCATATTTTTTCTTTATGTTTCAGTCATTTGAGAGAGCTATGAGATTTTCGTTTGAAGAATTCCACATATGGCATCAGTTTGCCAATTCCTTGCTTTGTGCCAGAAAGGTATTACATTTGTTAATTTTTATTTCTTTTTTTCCATTTTTGTAGCATGTCTTTTTTCATATAAACACTTGCTATTCTGATTTTTTTTTAATAATTGGTGTAATTCATGAGACAGCAACCTGCCAGGGGCAAGAATACAAGAAAACAACAACTATAGAACACTTTATGATTTAGGAATCCTTCAGTATGAGTCTTTTTAGGTTTAAAATTCAGGAATGCAATATAAACATTTTTATGAATTTATAACAGGTGTTATGATACTTGTAAATCAAAGCATCAAATCAGTGTTGAAGATATAAGTTAGAACATGATCACAAGAAAATAATGTTTATGCAAAGTTAAAGTCATATGAAACCAGTTTCTTGTAATTTTAATGTTATCGAAATTATTGGACTAATGCATGCATATATACTTAACTATGTCCTGTATGTACGTTTTTTATATTTATTACGAATCTATAACGTATTATCAACAAATAATATTTCATTCAATGGTTGTTGATCACAAGCTAATTAACTTTCGAGTTTGTTGCTGAATTTAACCGGATCGTGACATTGATAAATAATCAAAACAGAGCAAATGGAGTACATGGCAAATAAGTGAACTGATAGAGCCAAGATATTTTTTTTATTTTTTCCATGCGTTTCCATTTAATAATTAAAATTTTCCTTAACAGTTGTTAAATGATTTGATGTATTAAATTTGTTCTTTAAGAATCAGTTATTACTATTTACCTTCCAGTGCACAATTGTTTACATTCTTTAATCACAGTCTTCCCCTCACACTTCCACTGTGTGATGGTCAAAGTTCTAACGAGAGGTCTCATAGTTAGCACTGTGTGATGGTCGAAGTTCTAACGAGAGGTCTCATAGTTAGGGTCAATGCATGCGGGAAAATATCAGCGAATTAGTGTACGGGACGACAATAATTCAAAAGCAGTACATTTATGAAGATTTTGATAATATTAAGGAATTTCTTTTACAAGAAAGTACACTTGTTTTATAGTAAAACTTACCCATTCAAGTATATAAAACATATTCAACTTTTGAAGTTTCATATGACTTTAAATTGAGTAATATTCATTAGAACAGGGGCTAATTTGTGATTGATGATAAGGTTTGGTGGTTCCAGGGAAGTCACCTGGAAAAGGAATATGGGGGATGATCAGCATATTTTTTGTAGAGAAAAACTGTTCTGAAGAAAGGGATTGCTCCTCTAACCCCCTCCCTGTGTCCTTTGTTGTTTGCTTTAAATGAATATTGCATGCATTGATAAATTACTTCATGATTTATAGATTTACAAGAAAAGCAGTTTATGTTTTTCTCTTTATGAATGTCATGTACTCTGGATTCATTTATTTTCGTGGGTACCAATTTTCGTGGATTGAGGAAAATTTGCATTTTTGTGGATATTTGATTTCGTGGTTTGGCCAAAGTCTGCATAAATTCCGAAAGAAAATTTATAATTTGTTGGACATTGGAATTCGTGGTTCCCAGGTAACCACGAAATCCACGAAAATTGGTATCCAAAGAATAATAATGAATCCACAGTAATACTATATTTCTATATTTTTCATTTATTGCAGTACAACAGAGCATTACTGGTGTTAAAAGAATGTCTGAGATTACAGCCTAATAATTGTGTGGTCCTCCTACAGGTTGCCAAACTTTGTTATGAATATTTATATCAGGTAATACTACTGGTGTGTGTTATAATAAGATGATTGATTCGCTTCCCAAAACTTATTGTTAAAAAGGAAGTTAATCATTTTATTGGATGATAAGAACATTTTTTTACACTGTTAGCGTGCTTAAATAAACTAACAACCTTTTTTAATCGGGATTTGAAATAAAATTCATGAATTTACAGTGATAATTTAAATTCTGACCAAACTAAATTATAACATAAATCTTAGGCACAAACACCTACTTTCCAAATAATCCTACTTGATCTCCCTCAAGGATTGATTAAATAAGTTAGATATGGTATAGCATGATAGTCTGGCATGTAGAATGCTGAAAAAGTGTTTTAGAAATGCAGAGGCTGTCAGAATGTATGTTGGTCTACTGTGCTATTCTGGAATTTGAAACTAGTACAAGGTAGAAAAAATATTAAGTTAAACAGTTATTGAGAACTTGACAACCACACAGAAAATTAGAAAACATGTTCCATGTCCATGTTTAGACTCTATTCATACAGGAATTTACATATTTGGTATAGTATAATGCATTTATAGGATATGAATGTATGATATAGATTTCAGTGTGCATGTCATATTTTACTGGAATAACCTACATTATATAAATTAAGTAGATGTGGTACGATTAGCAATTAGACAACTAATCACCAGAGACCAAATGAAGCAAATGTTAGCAACTATAGTTCATGCTTGAAGCTAAAAGATTTGGAACTCAAAAATATAAAATTTCAAAATATCAAAACCAATAGGGCTTTTACAGATTAGACTATACTGTCTCCAGTTAACCTTGCTTGAGAGAACACAATTAGATGTGTGGTATACATCACTGAGACAGTAAACTAACAACATAAGTAATGGGATCATGTCTAAAGGTCAATATACAGTTGTCTATATATACAATATATCAAATCTAAAAATTGCCAAGAGTCTATAAAAGTTCAAACAATTCATTAAATTAAATTATGTTTACTTAATTTCTGTGCAGCTACACAATGTTTAAGAATGTCACAGATGACAACATTATACATCTACTTATAGTCAGAATATATGTAGAGTAGGTATTGGTTATTTCCAACAGTTCTGGTAAACATGATCTGTTGTAGTATGATACAGGTATTGAACTTATGGAGAAAGCTGTAGAAGAAAACACAGATCATTCACTCACAGCCAGAATGTATGTCGCTCTAGGTGTGGGATACAGTTTAAAGGCTTTAGAAATGAAACTGCAGGGAGAGAGACAGACACTTCACAAGAAAGCATTAGAGGCATTTGTTAGGTAAATGTTGTTATATGACATTTGTGTAAAACCTAAAGTTGAATGTTGAAAAAGTAAGATAAAATTTGAAAAGGAAATCCAAAATGGTTTAAATGACTTTTCAAGATGATTTTTTTTTTTAGTGTATAACTAAAAGAATTTCTTAAAATTAGGGTAAATTCAGATATGAAAAATGATGATGAAAGATTTAAAATTGGAACAATATAAAAAAAAGGAGATGTGATATGATTGCCAATGAGACAACTATCCATCAAAGTTCAAATGAAGTGGATGTAAGGATTTATATGAAACCGTACAGCCTTCAACAATGAGAAAAACCCATAAAATACAAACACATTTGAAAGTAGCACCAATAGTTCTATCAAAACTTTTAACTATATATTAATTTATTCCTATAACATGTAGCCTTACAAAGGAGTAAGTTCATGAAGGGCTAAAATTGGCCCTAAGATTTAGATGTTTTTTTTAATCAGGTCAAAATACTACAAATTTCACATAGAAATAGATGTGATATTACTATTAACACAAAATAACTTCTTTTTTGGACATCAAATTATACATGAAGAAGTAATGACCACTTACTTATGCATTTATTGTGTTGAAACGGCAGTTTTAGTCAAAATTTTCAATAATTCTTAACAGGTTTTAGCATAGTTAACTTTGGCAGCCACCCCTGATCCAGATATTTTTTGTGTCCAGTGATTCAATATCGTCAATGACATCTTTTGAATACAAAACATTTTGGATCGCAGGTTGTGGTCATTGGTTTCCTCAAGCTTTTAGGTCTGAAAATGCACAAAATAATCGTATTTTGACAATATATCCAAAATGTGCTGACTTCAAAGCCTAGAATGTACTATTATGAAGAGATTTGTTTAACCTATTAGTAAGGATTTTGGAATAGACCCATTTATGAACCAAATTATGGTCATTTTGACATTTTATGATAAAGTTGAAATTTAAGACCATATTTGGCCTATAAAAGTGAACCTTGTCCTTTCAAATTTATAGTTTTATTGTTTTATTACTACAGAGCACATACACTGGATCCTAATGATTATTTAGCATTGTTTCATCTGGCATTACAGCTTGCTATACATAGACAGGTATGGAAAACAATAGATAAATGATAAGTTATACACATGTATTACTACAAGCTTTTTTGCTTTTTTTTATGCCCCACCTAGGGGCATTATGTTTTTTGGTCTGTGTGTTTGTTTGTTCGTTCGTTCGTCCGTCTGTCCCACTTCATTTTAAAGTTTTTGGTCAAGGTAGTTTTTGATGAAGTTGAAGTCCAATCAACTTGAAACTTAGTAAACATGTTTCCTATGATATGATCTTTCTAATTTTAATGCCAAATTAGAGTTTTGACCCCAATTTCATGGTCCACTGAACATAGAAAATGATAGTACTAGTGGGGCATCCGTGTACTATGGATACATTCTTGTTGTTTTTTATTTGACACCAAAATATATGATTTTTTTTTTTATCTAAAATATTTTTGAACTGTATACAGTTACATTTGAAATGAAAGTCAGATTACAATGTTATATAAAATAGCATATAGATATAAGAAGATGTGGTATGAGTGCCAATGAGACAACTTTCCATCCAAGTCACAATTTGTAAAAGTAAACCATTATAGGTCAAAGTACGGCCTTCAACACAGAACAGCAAGCTATAAAGGGACCCAAAAATGACTAACAGGAAAACCAACAGTCTAACCTATATAAAAAACGAGAAACGAGAAACACTTATGAACAACATCAACAAACGACATCCACTGAACATCAGGTTCCTGACTTTGGACAGGTGCAAACAAATGCAGCGGGTTTAAACGTTTTGAATACTTGAGTAGTACTCTTTGGTTTTTAGTGATCTTGCATATTAAACTACTACATGTACTAGAATGATCATGAAGTTACAATTACAGTACCTCCTGCAAAATTCTTAAAAGATGAAACCTTTGGATAAAAGATTTGGAGATTTGGAGGATATCTCAGTGAGACAGCAACTCCACAACAATAAACCAGAAAAGACATCTTAATTTCATTATATGATCTTCAACAATAGAAAAATATCTATACTATATAATGAGTTCATTCATTTAATATTAGTTTTGAAAAAATAAATGAAATATTATAATTCAGATAAATGACGCCATGAAATATGTTCGTCTGGCCTTGAGATATCATAGCGACCACATACATTCCTTACATCTGATGGTATTGTTACTGAGTGCACAGAAGCAGTATGAGGAAGCTATTTGTCTGATGAGAGCTGCATTGGATGAATATCCTAACAATCTCAGGTATGTTTGCAGATACAGGTTCTTAGACTCTTTTTACGAAAAAACAAGATAACAGGATTCACCAAGAATACTGGGCAGTACAACAGACAACATAGGACACCAACACCCAGCTAATCTAAAAAAATAAAATAAACAGAAGTACAGTTCCCTTTACAAAAATTTAAAAGGCCAGGGAAAAGCAAAAACAAAGAGCTATGAATTTCTTATTAACTTTGCATGAATGGTGAGTGTGAAAGAATAGTGGCTTTCAGCCTGGCATGATTTTTTTTCTCGGAAATAGCCTTTTGAGAAATTCTTCTTATGGTTGTAAAGTTGTATATTTATTTGTCTTTGGATATTGTTATTTTGAAATGTATTTTTCTTTCTCTCAAAATCTTGGAAAAATGATTTTACAATAATAAATGTGCCATATTTTCACAGTTTAATGTTAACCAAGTCCAAGCTGGAAGAGATAGTATATGGACCAAATCAGGCATTAGATACATGTAAACATATGTTAAAGTTATGGAAAGATTTGTATGAGACAGATACCAGTGAGTAAGTAAATTTTATCAGGGCTAGTTACATAACTTTATACTATTTTTCAATGCAGACTTGAGAGTAATGCTGGCAGTTTGAAGTAAAAACAATATTATTCTACATTGTAAGAGATCAAATTCAACATTTGTGCAATTTATTTTCTTTAAGAAAAGTGGTGTGATATAAAATTAACATTGTACAAAATGTCACTTTGTTATCATATTTAGGAGATAAAGACAACAGGAAGTTTTCCAGCGGTATAAATTTATTGTATTGTGTAGATTTTCAACTTTTAGGATATTCCTAGAAGGAACAGGCAAAAGAAACATATTTTAAGATACCTTAATTTATATTCATGTTTCCATGTATAGGATAACTTCAGCTGAAGGTCTTCTATTCCTTTGCAGCTCTACAACAGAATCTCGGAGTCGTAACTTGACAGCTACAGACAGATCAGTTTTTGATAAGAAGAGTTTTGCACAGTTACAGCTAACAGAATTGAATGACAGAGATACAGGTTAGGATTGAGATATTTGAAAGGATTGTTATCGAAGAAAAATATGTTATTTTTTTATATCCTTGTATAAAGGGGGAGAACTTTAATTCAGTAATTTGTTTGTAATAGTCAGTGTCATCAATGCTTGTTAAGCATTCTTGAGAAACAGAATTAAAATTATCTGTGTAACTTAGAAGCTTAAAATATATGTTTAAAAATGGCTGATACAATTGTACCTTTTTTAAAAGAGTTATGTACATAGTACCCCCTTAAATTGTACTCTCATATGGCTGTCTCATCTTTTTTCTATTTCAACAGAAAATGGTGTGTATTTTTGATTGTTTGAGAACATTATTTCTCATTTCATACTTTATGCAATTCATTTCTTCTCTCATGAATTGTGTGATCCACATTACAATTTTCATATTTTTGTATGTAAAGGTTCATCTCAAAATTGGGTTGGAATGAGTTTTCATGTTTTCAAGGGAGATTGCATATTTCGGTGGTATACTTATGAGTATAAACATATATTTATTCACATGAAAATTTAATTAAATATAATGAAAAATTTGTGGTTGAATTGAACTTAAAATGTATCGTTGAAATACATGTAGCTTCAAAATAAATGATTTTAATTACTTGAAATTTACAAAATTTTTCATGTAATTTTTTTTTCTCTAAGGTTCAATGAAAGCAGAGTCAGTAGCTGCCTCTCGTGTAGAGAGAACTTTATCTGAGGTAGCATCCTCATATAACAGTAACTTCCAACCCAGACCTGGTTCACAACAAACTTTGCAAATACAGGCACAAATATGGCTTCATTTAGGTTTGTATACACTTAAGTTACTTTCAACACTATATAAATAACACATATCTGAGAGGGTGGTAGAGCAGATTGTTACCCCGAGAAAACATTGTCAACTGAGGCGAAGCTAAGGTTGACAAAGTTTTTTCGAGGGGTAACAATCTGCTCTATCACCCTCTCAGATATGTGTTATTTAATTTATAATACTGAAAGTTCTGTTATTACTGTCTAATAAATTTCAAATTCAAAGTAATAAACCTTGTCGTCTTGTACATAACAATCATCCGTATTCATTAAAGCGCACACTTGAGCAAGAGTCTCCGTGAAGGGTAATAGAGTATTTGCCATAGGATAGAGTAAATTGTCTCCCTCGTATTAACCAATCAAAATCTGGCATTTTGACGTGAAGTATAATAAAAACAAAAATGCTTGATTTACATTTAACATGAACTTTTGACCTAGACTACATTCACTACAAACATACAAACAGCAGGCATATATGGGGTTCATTTAAGTTTATACATGTAGTTTGTTAATCAACTACCAATGGAGTTGTTACTTCAGGCACAAATATGGTTTCATTTTGATATATGAATGTGTAAATGCAATTGGTGTACAACTTTTAATGTTCTTTACCATAATATTTCAATATTGTAAGGATAGTTTACATAGATTTTACATTTTCAATACCATTTGATAAGTGCTATTCGATGAAGATATATGCAGAAGGGTAGGAAGGGAAGTTTTATTTTTGTACATGAGTAGTGGGTCTATTATTGTTCTTACCCTTTCACATTCATTTTGATGTAATAGCCTTAAATTGATACTCTGCAACAGAATGAAGTCTGTTAATATTTTTAAATTCAGTTTACAAACTTTGAAAAAACAATACATAAAACATTTTTTTTAAGGTGTTTTTGAAGAGTTTTTGAAATGCTCAAATAAGTACATATGAATTTTTTATTAAATGATTTTTATTGTACTTTTCAGCTGAACTGTATTTATCTGTAAACAAACTATCAGAAGCTGAGGGATGTGTAACAGAAACTTCAGTTATCTTCCCTTTATCTTATCATGTAGCATATATAGTAAGTAATTGCTCAGTAAGATTCTGTAAATTCAGATACTTTTGTGATTTTTCAACAATGGAAAAAATGCAAGATCTAGTATTACCATTTCAGGAAATGTTGCATACTATTAATGAGAACAAAAGTAAAAATGAGATTTTTTATTTTTGTGAAACCAATCCCATCACAGTTCTCGCATAGATAAAAACATCACAAAAAGTTCTGAATTTAAAAAAAATTTGGATTAAGCTTGCCATACAATATATCAGATAAAATTGACCACATGCTAGAAATAACAAAATTGAAGCAAAACTTAGGTAAATCTTGGGTAAATAAAGGCAACAGTAGTATACCGCTGTTCAATAGTCATAAATCGATTAAGCGAAAACAAATCCGGGTTACAAACTAAAACTGAGGGAAACACATCAACTATAAGAGGAAAACAGCGGAACAACAGAAATACTGAACTGCAACAAAAACAAACGCCAACATACATAGAAACGGCAACTGCCATATTCCTGACTTGGTACAGGACATTTTAAGAAAAAAACAGTGGGTTGAACTTGGTTATATGGCTAGCCAAATCTCCTGCTTATATGGCAATGTTAAAGAATAAATTGACTCCCTAGAACAATTTTGATTAACATGGTAATTTGAAAAAATAGGTTCTGTTACAGTATATATAGAATTTGCTACTGTTGATTTAAATTTGAATGTTTAAAAATAGAACTAAGTTTATTTATTCTTTTCCCTTTCTTGATGAAACAATAAAACATGCTACCTAATTTTCTGGCCACATAGAAAGTTATGAATGAAAAGAGATGCATGTACACAGAAAACTGAAAAGACATCTATTAATGAAACTTGTGAAGTCACTTTGCTGATTTCTAAGTTTTATCTCAAGTATGCATATACTCGGTGAACTAGTCAATTGATATAAATTCTAGCTTAGAAACACCAGTAAAAGCTGTCTGGTATAATTATGCTTAAATTGTAGAAAGGAAGACTAAATGAACACAAACAGAAATATGAAGAAGCTAGAGTTTGTTATGAGAATGCCTTATCTATAAATCCTGGTCATAGGAAGAGTCTGCAGCACTTGGTAAGTTTCATTATTTGGTTCATAATGTACACAGAAAGGGAATTCAATGATGAAATTTTTCTTTACCACTTAAGTTTACCAAAACAAAGATTTGTTGCATTAAAACACTCAAAATTAATTTTATCAAGAGGAACAAATAAGAAAGCTTTAAACTGTGACCCCTCTTTGAAATTTTATGAGACAATTACAATCACTGAAATGACATTTTAATTTATTCTTTTTAGGGAATGGTATTGCACACATTAGGAAATGATAGAATGGCAGAGAAAGTTTTAAGAGATGCTGTTAATATAGATCCCATTGCTCATCAATCATGGTATGTCAGTGTTTTAACTTTTATACTATCATTTGACGAAAAACAATGTTAAGCCAAACCAATTTTATATATTGTTTTTTTTACTTTAGGGTGAAGAAAAGAAGTGGAAGCAAGGAAAATTTTGTTAATTTCCCTTTTGTGACCTTAATGTGTTATGTAAGACAGGTTGTTAAAGATGACATTCTGATTCTTCTTATTTGGTTGGTCAAGGTTATCTCCCTTTTAGGAAAAGTGCAAAATGGTGAAATAAATAACCATTTTCAATTTTTCATGTGTATTATTTTTTACCAATTTAGTCATCAGTTGATTTTAAAGTCTGAGTTATAAGATTTTTTTCAACTACAGTAAAATTTTACTTATACACTTTAAATGATAATTTCACTTTTAGATAAATATTAATAGGCTATCATTACACATATACAAATCCTAATAATTGTTTTATATTTCTTTTACAGGTTTAACTTAGGACTTGTATTAGAAAGTTTAGGACATGCAGAACCAGCAAGTGATTGTCATTTGAAAGCTTTAGAATTAGAGGCTACCAGTCCTATAGTACCATTTACTGTCATTCCAAGATTATTACACTAACCACAGGTTAAATGAAAACTTATTACTCTTAGATTCAGGTTTGATAATGACACTTCACTGGAAATTTAAATACTGAATATTAATAATGGTCAGATTATTGCATCGTTACACATTTAACATTATATAGCTGTTGATTATGTCATTTATGAGGTCCTAAAAGGACTGAAAAGATTTTACTCATTGTGTAAAATAGTTTTTATAGTACATTATTTATTTATTTATTGTAATAAAAAACTTGAAATCTGTTAAATATTGATTCAGTTGTTAGCTTACATTTATTATGCTCCCTGAATTTTTTTTGGAGCATATAGTAATCACTTTGTCTCTTTGTACTATATGTCCAAAACAAATAGTTTCTGGGTGGTAACTTAAGTTTTCCTTGCTTGATTGCAATGAAACTTATGCACATAGAAGATATTGGAAAGGGGAAGATACCTATTGAGTTTGGGGTCAAAGGTCGGTCACTTATCAAAAAAGAAAACATTGGGAAATTTGCCCATCCAAGTATACAAATATTTTGTATCCTTAAAATAAAACTGTTTTCTTTCAATAAAATGTGCCTTTCAGGTAGCATTAGTTGGCAGTACCAGCTTTTTATTTTTGTTGTTTGATTACAGAAACTTTTAAATGACTATGTTATATATCCCTTATTATCTGTATACCTTACTGTTCTGTGAGGCAGTCCAGTATTGATATATGGAATTTTCAATGTACTGGTACTGTGCACTAGATGGGAATATTAGTATTTCATTATTGTCTATTCACAATCATTAGACATAACTATTTTTTAAAAGCCTTTTCAATGAAAATAATACTTCACTTATTCATTTCAAATTTTTATTGTATGATTAGAAGTCTCAGGTACAGTTAGTGGAGCAGCAACTGTTGAACCTTATAGGAACCATTTTGAAGTTGTGTATCTGAATCTCAAGTTTTATGGTTATTGATTTGTGGTCTAATCTCTCTTCATTAGGTATTGTCTGCTCTTCTTTATCTTAGCATTGTTTCCTCGATGTATTCTTTTTTGTTGTTGACTAAAGTAATCATTTGTATAGTTCGGTCTTTGATAGTTGTTAGGACCTTGCCACTGGCGGGTCGCCCTATAGTGATCAGTCTGTCCGTCCGTAACAAATTGTGTCCACTCTATATCTAGAGAACCGTTATAATTTCATACTTTATACTTGACATGTATATTAACCAACACCAGAGAGTGTGTCATAATTTTTGTACAACTTCCAAGGTCAAAAACTTTGGTTTCAGTTGACAACCCTATGTCCAATGGTAAAGATCGTGTCTGCTCTATATCTTGATAACAGTTATAGTTTCAAAGTTTATACTTGACATGTATATTAACCAACACCAGAGGGTGTGTCATAATGCATGTACAACTTCCTAGGTCAAAGGTCAAAAGTCAAAGGCACAGAGATGGCTCCCATCTCAATGATGTCTAGTTTCAATGGCAATCATACCAACGTCTCATAATATTAAATACCAGTAACAGGTGTTGTTCATTATTTCACACATGTATTATTGCGAACCCAATGAAAGTTTTCCACAGTGCCATCTCTATCTTGACCAGGTATTTAAACTTTTGCAAGTTCACCTGTCCTATTGAATGAATACAATAGCTATTTTTTTCTGTGTAGTTTATTCACTGGGACCTTTAAATTTCTTCTAAGAGAAATCTATCATTCATTGATTAAATTACCTGTGTAAAAAAAAATTCTTATATATAGACAAAAATACTATTTTTATACTCATTAATTGCGGTGCTGATGTATTTATTCAATATTAATAATATATTTTCATTCAGTTTAATATAAACATTGATTCAATCATAAAAAGTTGATTTCTAACAAAAGTTTTATCAATGTTCCTATTGAAATTTGATTTTTTTTTTGTTTAGTTATAGAATACATTTAAGAAGATCTTAATTTGAAACATCATTATTTTCAAGTTCTTTATTCATGTCAAACAAATTTTTTTTTAAAAGGAACAATGTTGAAAGTTTTGTCAGAAATCAACTTTTTATGATTGAATCAATGTTTATATTAAACTGAATGAAAATATATTATTAATATTGAATAACTACATCATCACACGCAGTTAATGAGTATAAAAAAAGTATTTTTGTCTATATATAAGAATTTTTTTTTACTCAGGTAATTTAATCAATGAATGATAGATTTCTCTTAGAAGAAATTTAAAGGTCCCAGAGAATAAACTAAGCAGAGAACAATAGCTATTGTATCTATTCAATAGGACAGGTGAACTTGCAAAAGTTTAAATACCTGGTCAAGATAGAGATGGCACTGTGGAAAACTTTCATTGGGTTCGCAATAAGAGTCTATAGGATTGACTTTTAAATATTTGTTTCTTGTCATCATGGCAAGAGATGGCATATACATAGAAAATGATTTTCTCTGTGTGCCTATTTGTGTGAGAAAAAATCAAAAGTAATGATTGAAAGTTATGTTATTAATGCCTTAGTCAAAAGTAACATTAATTCAGAGGCTGCTATACAACTGTTTGTTTTTTCATTGTTCAAGATTGTTTTAATGTTTTTAAACAATTTTATGATGGTGCTAAGACTTGTTAATAATGGTTGAACCTCGTCCTCAATCTCAGTTCAGTCAAAAGCTTTGTTTTTAAATGTATATAAATGCAATACCCACTTTTTACATTGGCATATGTGAAGAAGTCATATATCAAAATATTATAATAATTTATTGTAAACATTATAACAAAAATATCACACATATAAAAAAATATAACATAAAAATGTAATAATACTGATGACTTTATATTATTGTATTGAAGACAGCTGGAACAAATGAATAAAAATATGTCTCACATGCCGGTTATAAGGCTAGATCAACTAAATTTTCACCTTTAAAACTATTTCCCTATTTGACATAAGAGAACACCTTTTCTCCTATCTGAAATTTTTAAAATACTGTAGTATTTAAGTTTTCATGGAGTTAAAATTATGCTATTTTTGCAATTTGAAAGGCCAATCTTTTTTGCAAGGTTTTATTTTCGATTTTTTTTTCCTTCAATTTTGATCTTAAAAGATCAGCTTTACAGGAAGGTACATTTTCCAGATTTTATCTTAATACAAAAATAGTGATAAATAAACCCCTTGCTAAACATTTTCCACTTAACAGTAGGTGCTGTTTTAATTTGATTTATATAGCACCCTACAGAAAAATTAGAACTCTTAATTTTTTTCTAGTAACCATTGGTCAACATCTATCATTTCTCATTGTTAGGCGAACCCAGTCTGCTCTAATTGATATTGATCTTATAAGGATTATAGTTATAAGTTATTTTTTCTTAATCAGAACTAACTTTTGATGTATAAAAAATACACTGACAGTCCAATAATAATCTCATATGCCATTACTTTTTTAGAGAATGCTAAAATATATGGAAAATGGATTCTTGAAACATAGTTTCATAAGAGAAAATTTGTCTTTTGCAGTGAATTAAAAGGGTCCCATACTCTTAAACTGCATATGTGCTTGTTGGGTCAAAATGTGTATTAAAAGTCTTCAGATTTTATGATATTTTTTTCAAAATCACATGATACCCTTTTTTGATATATTTAAAAACATAATACTGATAAAATACAATAAAATGCAACTGAAATAATGTATAAAGATTTCGAACTCATGAAATTATTTTAAAATTAGTTTAAATTTATTAAACAATAATTCGACATTACAGACATACCCTTATATAACCACCCTGTGTCACAGACTCTCACAAGTCTATGCTTTTTTTTAAGTCATGGATTTAGCTATTTAAGTTAAGACTTTGATGTAATTATAAAAGGTTGGAACACACAAAACTTTTCACTTTTTACGATTTTCACAAAGTATTTATATCATTACAATCATTAAGGTACTTCTGAATGAAAATATGATCATAAATGTTTAACATGCAAATAACAAAACATGTTGACTAAATGCATTACAGTGTATGTAACACCTTAGCTCTAATTTCAAATATCATTACACATGTTACAGTATACTGTAATATCACTAGATTGATAAATGTTGCACTAAGTCTATTACACAGCTCATTTTCAAGCCTTGCTTGCATTTTCAATTGGAAATAGTAATAAAAAAAAATGTAGGAAAAAAAAAAGCAAGAATTTCAAAATTTATTCTGAACATTCTCTGATGTGTATATCTTAAGCAGAACATTTTTTCTACAATAACTGAATAAGAATGATCTTAAATTTTATAAAAGAAATTTCCACATTACAATTCGAAAATCAACCCATATAAAGAAACATATCTTTATATTCAACTTCATTTTAAAATTCTTTGAAAAAACTTCTTCACAAAAAGCTCTGATTTAAATTGGTTACATATTTCATAGATTTGTGAAATAAAGATCATTCACTTAGGAGACAAATTTCCACCGTAAAGTATAAATTAAGTTATAACTTCTGAAGCAAGCATGCACAGTCTACTCAAACCCTAAACACTGACTAGAGCTTATGTCTGGAAGGCACTTGAGAAGAAAAGGCCATGTTGCCTACCCATGGTTGTGACTGTATCTGGTTGTGGATACTGATACGTCTTCTCGTAGGTACCAGGTCCTGGAACACGCTGCAACGAAAAGTAATAAAAAACAATCAATGGGTAGTCATTGTTATAATTACAATCTTTAAAATGTTTGCAATTTTTCTTATAGGAGGACCAAACCATCATCTGCACCTATGTCCAATATGTACAGTAATTTTAAAATTTGCTATGCTATATCAACTTTTAATTAATTTTTTGATGAAAAATTATTATTTTATTATTTATTGGTAACTTCAGTAAAATTCTTAAATTTCAGGTAGTTTTGTTCTATTAAATCTAAGAGGATCTATGAAACTTCTCAAATTATTAGAAATTAATAATGCATAATAAAATTAATTATAGCACATGTCTAACTCTTATACACCTTCAAATTTTCACTGATGCTGATCATATTTTGAAGCTGCATTTATTGATTATCATAATGCATAATAAAAATATTTATATCAAGTGGTTAAAAATGATGATTAAAAGTTCTAGATGAAAAAAAGTATGTTAAAGTATTACATTTATGTATTATGTAATTTTACATCCATACTCTATAAGATTAAATTGAACCACTAAAGGGAGGTAATTCAAACATTCTTTTTTGTGTTATGATAAAAAAATGTATTTATGACATGCAATCTACAAGTATTAGATTTATCATGCAAATGATATTTCTAGATAATTCTTATAGGATTTGCATATCTACAAATACTTGAATGTGATTGGTCCATACCAGTTTCCAAATCAATAACCTCTAGAAAAAATGTCTTTAATCCTATAATAAACTGACAAGTCACTAAAGGAATTGTATCAATGTTGCAATGGATAGATATATTTAGTATATAGAAAAATCATGTACAGAACAGAGTAATTAAAAACATATTTTAATGCCCAGATGCAGAACCCTTGATTTCAAAAAAGGGGACCCCAGACTAGACAACGTTAAGAGTTTGACATATTTGCATTAACCATATATATAGCTCCATAAGAGGTGGGGAGGGGGGAGGGGGTTTCCCCCTTTCCCCCTTAAATCCACCTCTGATGTCAATTACTTATTTCTTTTAAGTAGTCAACTGGCAAGGGCTCACTTGAAATATGAAGTATATACGTAACACAGTTATATATTATTAAGAAGGGGGATTGCTTCCCTTGATTCAATGCAATATTGAATGATCTATTCATAAGCAGAAATACATAAAAAAAAAGTATTAGGTTATTCATTCTGTCCAATCCATTTTATTTAAACGTACAGACGATGTTTAAATAAAATACTTTTAATTACTGTTAATTCAGAAATTATTGTAATGTTCTTATTAATGAAAAATGCAACAGTACGAGGTTCGCAATAATAAAAAGTCACAATCATAATTTCAGTGGTGCTCTTCCTTTATAAAAAGTTTTGCAATTGCATTAATCAGATCTCATACTTTTACCAGTAATCAATAATTTGCAATAATAAATGCACATGTTAATTTCTGAATTTACAGAAAAGACAGTACTAAAAATCTGGAGTAAAAATTAAACTCATCTAAAAAGTAAAATAGTCAAGTTTTTCAAGTCATATATTGACAGGCAGTTAACTGTTTCCTGTTACAATCGATCTTTATATCTCAACTAAAGTAATATTCTGTTTATCTTTTAATATGATCTATAAGTCTCTACTAATATATATCCGTTTTGAAAAGACCTCATAATGTATTCATGTCATAAAATTTAAAACCCAAATCCAAACAAAAATGATTTACATTTTAATCCCCAATTAAAGTTAGTAAATATGTTTTTAATTTATTTATCTGTTTGGTCTTTTCAATCAGGACTGTCTATAGTGAAGATTCTGTTTAGATATTATTAATACATATTTTATACTTACAATATTGCCACCACCCTAAAATTATGTATGTATTTCAATTTTTGGGCTTTTGAACTTTAGCCTCAAACTTTCAAATAAACAAATTTGACTGATTGCTTAGAATTATCATGTATCAGTAATTATAAAAATTTGAACAGTAATCAATATAAAAACAAGAATGTGTCCATAGTAAACGGATGCCCCACTTGCATTATCATTTTCTATGTTCAGTGGATTGTGAAATTGTGGAAAAAACTCTAATTTGGCATTAAAATTAGAAAGATTATATCATAGGGAACATGTGTACTAAGTTTCAAGTTGATTGGACTTCAACTTCATACTACCTTGACCAAAAACTTTAACCTGAAGCGGGACAGACTGACAGACGAACGAACGAACGGATGCACAGACCGAAAAACATAATGCCCCTCTACTATCATAGTTGGGGCATAAAAACTGTATGAGAATGATCCATCTGTCACAAATCAATCAGACTTTGAAGCCAATGGATGAACTAGATAAGAATGTAATGAACTGATCTATACTTGGAAACCACTGAAACCACCTATATTTTTGGAAGATATCCTTTCCCCTTTGTCATAGCAGATCTTATGGCGATTTTCGTTAAATACTTTTCTGTAAAACATTTATCACCCAACAACATGGGAGGAGAAACCCACCTACTATTTGACACTAATATGCTCAAGTAATTGACCACTATTAAGTGACATCTATCATTTTGCAAGCTCATTGATAAGGTTATTAGATCCTTACAGGTATCTATGAATCTTAAATGGCAAATGTGTCCATAGGACACAGATGATGCCCTTCTTGCAGATAACATTATAAAGAGACATAACTCGAGAACAGTAAAAGTGACACAACCCAAATTCGAACTAGATCTGTGTTTTGTGGTAATGAGCATTATGTAAAAGCTTCATAACAATTGGTTGAGGCAAACTAAAGTTAGAGAATGGAAACCCATTTTGGGACACAGATGGACGTACAGACGGACAAGGGTAAGACTTCATGCCCCTACCACAGCATAATAATGCTCTTTAGTCTTATGTTATCAACGTTTCAGTAGAACTTGTCAATTTTAGTCCAAATATTTTTGTGAAAAGATGTTCTGTACACACTATAAAAATACCATTTAGAAAAAAAAACCAACAGAAAATTGAAAAAAAATCTTCAAACCATTCCATAATAGCAGGTGCACAACTTCAACATCTGTGCAATCTTACAGTGAAATTTCATTGATCTGGGTTGAATACCAGAAGAACTTGGTTACACAAATTAAGTACAATGTACCACTTTTTTTCTGTCTGCCTGCCTGCCATCACAGTATACTATAAGCCAGTTTGGACATAGTCCAACCTGGCCAATTATGTATCACACAAATGCTTCAAGGCATTGATGAAACTAACTTTTACAATCAATTACTAATTTAAAGAGTTATCTCACTGAAGTACATGTATAATTACACATTCTGACCTAAAAATAGGCATTCAATGATATTTTTAGACACTGTAATTATTGATATAATAATATTGCATAAGATAAAATCATTATGCATGGTACACTTACTGTATGTGAACTAGAAAATCTTGGTGTTTTTGACTTGAAGCTTGATGAAACACTTATTTTAGGATAGATGCTCTGTTGTTCATATTCCCCAGGACCAGGTCCTTTTTTCTGCAACAATATAAAGTAAAAAATTTCAAATGTGCAATTAATGGCAATCACTATGTGAAGAAGGACAAAAACATTATGGCCAAAAGAATCAAGACAAAAAAAAAACAATAAAACAGTGGTCCCAGAGTGGCATGTGGCATATTGCTCATGACAATGGAAATCTGGTGATTTATTAGTAATCAGAAAATGTAACTGCAATTAAGTTCAGCTTGATAATAAAATAAATAAATCTTGACCATAAATGTACAATATGAGTATTCCATTTTGTGAACTTCTCACCAAAAAATATATAATTTCTTTCATTTCATATGAATAAAGGAAATGTTTGTAGTATATCTATAGCCCAGCTACCAAACACAATAAAAAAAAAACCACACTTAATAGAGATTAACACAGGGTCTTCAACAAAAAATAAGCATTTATACCACACATCAAGCCAACAAGGCAAGTTGTGAATAAATATAACAGATACTTTACTATTTTTAGCAAAGTAAAGTGAATCTTACACTCATATGATATAGCATGTCAAGCATGATTGGAGTGGATAAGTGATTCCACAGAATTAAATAAACTTGTATTAAGATTTGATGGATGGATTGTGTTTGCCTAATGTCCAGTGGCAAATATTTCATGCATATTATGATGATATATGTATAAAGATTTGAAAAATAAAAAGTATGAGATCAATGTCATCCATACACTTACCGGTTTGAAAGGAGCTGTTGGGAATCTTTTATGTTGAGATCTGAACATAAAATGTCTGCAGATAAAAAATATATTATTAGATTTACATGTATAAGCCAAGCAAATTGTGTAATCCTCTTCAAATATGTATACTTGTGTTATACAAGTTTGATTTGAAGATTTCATGATGTTAATTATATAAAAAGTTGTAACACTGTCAATGCTTTTGAAATTGCATGTTGAAATATATATCTAGCATCTTTGATTATGTATTCAGTCTTCATGAATTTGATAAAATGCACAACTGAAAACTATGTGAATATCCAGTCTGGAGGCATTACTGTAAATTCAGAAATAACTGTTCATTTATAATAATTGTAAATGTTAAAAAATGTTCAAAAATAATTTGAGATTAATTATTACATTTCAGAAAATGCTGCTTACAAGTAATGTTATTTTTGCCATTTGATTGGGGACTTTCCTTTTTGAATTTTCCTCAGAGTTCAGTATTTTTGTGATTTTACTTTTTATTAGTTATCAAATTTTAAAATTCAAGTTTACATTCATGGGACACCTATCATATTTATAAAACATCATAAAAATTTCTGATTTTACAGTAATTTCAAGACTTTCACAGGGTCCTCCAGATGAGAATTTTTCGTGGTTTATTTTCATGCAGTTTAAAATTTGCAATTTCAAGGGCCAAATCTGTTTTTTTTTTCCTTTTTTTTCTGATCTTCTTTAATAATGATCATATTAAAAAGGGGGAATTTTCACGATTTTATTTTGATCATCAAATTGGTGAAAAATAAAACCTTGACAAAAATTTCCCACTTTACAGTATTACATGTGTGCACTTATGCTGTTTTGTTTTTGGTCCCTTCGGAGCACCTGAGATTTTTGGTGGAGTTTGTGTTCCTAGTCTTACGCTTTTCTTTGTTGTGTTTTGTATACTGTTGTTTATATAAAAAGAAGATGTGGTATGATTGCCAATGAGACAACTCTCCACAAGAGACAAAATGACACACAAATTAACAACTATAGGTCACTGTAAGGCCTTCAACAATGAGCAAAGCCCATACCGCATAGTCAGCTATAAAAGGCCGCGAAATGACAAACGTAAAACAATTCAAACGAGAAAACTAAAGGACTAATTTATGTACAACAAAATAATGAACGAAAAACAAATATGTTACACAGCAACAAACAACAATAACTGAATTACAGGCTCCTGACTTTGAACAGCCACATACAGAATATCTTTTTGTAGTATTTTGTTTTTTGCCAAGGCATTGTCAGTTTGTTATTGACTAACGAGTTTGAATATCCCTTTGTTATCTTCCACCTCTCTTTTAGAAGAATATGTAAGTTTACTTCGTGAACATACCTGGATTGTTGTTTTTCTACTGACAATGACAAATATTTTTCCAAAGCATATGCATTAGGGCTCACATTGATATCCTGCAAAAACAAAACAGAAACTAAATGATTATACCTTCAAAATAAGGTGTGATTTCTCTGGATTCTATTCTCATACATATTCATGGGCATACAAATACAGCTGACAAGATTTATGACAAACCTTTTTAGAATTGTCTGTTGATAATCTTAAAAATAATGAAGAAACTTAGGTTTCAACTCTCTCACGCAAAGTTGACCTGAGAAGGATTTGGCTATTATTTTTAGGTCTTTTTTTGTTATATAGCTCTTCAACTGTTTTGGTTCTTATACATCCTTGGCTTTCAAATATTTGTATGAGTGTTCCTGATGAAGGTAAATCAAGAAAAGTGCTTCTAACACATAACAGTAATAAAGTGTTGTTTTTATTTTAACTAATTAAATGAATAGCGTTTACAAATATCAGAGTCATTTGAAATAATATGTTACCCTGTCTTTTGTGCCGAGATTGAGGGTATCAAATTTGTCTCTCCTTTCTGCTTTGAAGTTATAGGTTGCTGGTAATGTGTTGAACCTGAAAAAATTGGAAACTGACATTTAAAAATGTTTAGAAATGTTGTAATTCAAGATAAAAAGAATCATGATCCTGATGCATTAAGAATTAAAGTAAAACTGCATTTTATATGAACTGAAATATTTTTCCATTACAGTAAGTATTAAAAAGAATTAAGATTATTCTTTCAACCTCCTATTCTGTGGGAATTTGTAAAAACTAGCAATAGCATTTTTGTCTTCAATATTTTGTCGATCTGTGTTTCAACATTTGTAACATTTTTGTTAAGGGGTTATTGTTGGTTGTTGAACATCCGGTGTCAAACTTTACATGCAGAACAACTTTTAAAAGTGTTCAAATTATTCATAAGTGCCAAATCAAATGACATGATATATATATTGCAAGTTTATGTGAATTATTGTATTTAGATACAAAATATACTCAAGTACATCTACCTTCTTAAAATGATAAAACAATTCACCTTAGGATCATATTATTATGCATGTACACATTATTAATTATTTTTGACTGTATGTAATTGAAAAAATAGTTAGTTTCTATAAAGTTGAAAAAAGTTTGTCTGAAGAAAAAACCATGCCCACATCTACTAACAAAAGATGACTGGTTAATTAGTGCCTTATTGTAAATAGCATAAAACAAGAAACAAAAATTAGTACCTTTCTAGAAAACTTGGGAAGTTGTATGCCCCTGGTAAGAGTTGTGCACCCTTTCCATGTGGATGTGGATCTATCGCTCTTCCATCAGATTTAAACCTGTAGGTATTTGGTTTTTTTCTCAGATTTTCCAAAAATGAATCTGTTTCATAGGCACCAGGTAATGGGGTTTCCTATAGAATAAAATATGCTTTATTCCCAATGTATTGGCCCACAAGTGGCAACACAAAATTATAACACGAATACAAAAGAACAATACTGAGAGAAATAACTACTTAATTTGTAAATAAATTCAAAAGCAATTATTGTTTATGATGAAGAGACACAATTATGTATTCATATATGAATAAAAAAATATTTTTGATAAATAATAATGAGACAGCAACCCAACTACACAATGATGAAAAAGACATAAAAAGGCAGCATATATAGTTTTCATCAATAGATAGCTGTCTATACAATATATCAAGCTAGAATCGTCTATGATTATTTATGTAAACTATAGTGGATTAATCTATTTAACAAAAATTGAGTAAACTATTTAACAATTTACTTTTATTGAAAATCGTTACAAACATTAAACTGGTTCCTTCAATCTTTTATAGTACATTTACAAAAATATGATTTAATCTCTACAAATTTGGCACAGTTAACACATGTACTTACCCGAATATACGTTCTCCACCACGTCTCTCGTTCTGTTATAGGTGGATCGTATCCCTCACCCAATGCTTTCCGACCCTACAAAAATAATTAAACCCCGTATTTAACAAACTTCTAGTGACGTTGACACAAAAATTAATCTGTTTACAATTCATTTTTAAGACGAAATTTGTAATACCTCCCATTGATGTTTCGTGCTGATCGGTCTGGGTTCATTTTTATGTTGATCTGTCCTTGTGGTTGTAGTATCTTCTGTTGATAGCATAGACCTCTCCCGGCTTTTCTCCGGGACTGGGGTCAAAGTCATGCTGTAGAAGTCTGTTGACAAACGGAAAAAGATCACCTTTAGATTATTGATTTTTACCTTTTTGCGTCCTTAGAGACGGTCACGTGATTTAAATGCCAATTAACATCAGGATATTAACTAATGTTAAAAGACAAACGGTCCCTTTAAATGTATTTCATTCATTTAATATGCAAGTGTTGAAGTGTAAAATTAACGTTTATCTTCTCCATTGATTTTCTTTATACGTTCGTTAATCTAAGCGAAACATTGGATGCACTTTGCATCTTGGTTTAAATTCAAGCAACAGTCAAGTTAACTTACAATCCGGCAGTGGAGCAAGCCGCTTTAAAATTAATTGAAAACATTTCTTCAGTACTTAATCAACTAGTATCCAATTGAATAATATTATATATTTGCAGAAGTCCATTACTAGACGAAGTCTAATATATAATATTATTGATGACTTCTGATATTTGTCATAAACTGTTATAATATTGTTTTGTCACATTCATTCCGTTCTTTGTATTTTGTTCTTTTTAATGTGTTTGCTTCAATAAAAAATGTAAGAAACAAGTAAACTTGCGAGTTTCAATTGCGTTTTTGCATTTTTATTTGAGAGTCGAACGTTGTCCAGGTCACACCAAATGATGAATAAAAATACACATGAATACAAATGGATAAAAATGTTTCTGGTTAAATGGAGCTTCCATTAAAAACTAGCTGGATCAGAGACATATAATACATGTATGTATTATACATGTCTCTGGTTGCATGTTTCCGCGCTCCTAACATTTCGGCACACAGACTTGGTTTGTGCTTAGTATAATACTGGTCTGTTAAACGGTATGACAAATTTTCAACGACTTAAATCCTATCTCACAAGAACAACACGAGAGCACTTTGTACAGCAGATAAAAGTAAAATTATGAATTGACAAAGATAAAATTTTAATAGTACAGACAGAAAATTGATTTAATTTTTCACAATTTGGGTAAAAGGATTTTAAAGTTTAAGTTTTTATTTATTTCTTAAATTTCTCCCGTAATTGATACATTATTTTTGAATATTTATTTTCAAAATGGTGGAAAAATATGACATGTAATTCGAAAATTTATTACAGCTATAGAGAACAAAATGGCATGCAAGCGCCAAATTATTGAATTTTGATTATCTACCGTGTATACAGTAATTAAGGGGTTTGTTTTACTACCTTTGTGCCACTCGTGTGTGAATTTAATTTAAAACACCTGTCACCCATGTCATGATTGTTGACCGATCAGTAAAATCGGTCGTGGTCAAGGGAGCAGTACAAGGTACCATTTGAATGGCGAAAACAGAAGAAAGTAAGAAATCATTGATCATGTGACTAAACCTGCAGGATAACAATTTAAGTTTTGAACGGTCACTTTGATTACTGATTTCAACGAAGAAACATCGAAATTTACTAGAACTTTCTCTCCGTTTTACACCAGGAGCTAAAGTCATCACTTGCAACAGAAAGTCAGTACGACACCATTGTTAAATACGTATTGAAAAGATAACAAATGCTACTGTTATTGAAAAGGACGACGAAAAAAACTGTTTTTATCTTGGTTTATTTTTTACAATAAAGAATTCATAACTAAGTAAACAATAAACAGTTTGACTGTGCATCTGCTTTTTGGCCAGGTTGCCTGTAATGCAAAACCCGCTTATTGCATGTATGGCGATGTCTTTCGGACTGCAGAAAAAGTGGATACATTGTTTGTGCCCCGAGTAATCAAATCCTCCTACAGTAATCAACCCAGATCACCGAATCTTCATAGCAAGACTAAACAGATATTGAAGTTATGCACGTGGTAATATTTTTTTGTCGATGGCCTCATGTCCAAGTTTGTACAAAGAGGACTAAGTACTTGGCATTATCGAATGGATTGAGGTATTTCCCCCCCCCTCCCCCCCCCCCATTTATCTTGAAATTTGTCATCAGGCTTCATGTTCGTCCGAGCAATCTCGGACTTGCTGCACGCTAACATGCTTTATCGTGCGATGCTATTTCAGTTTCATCAACTTCCTGTTTACCTTATCTTATATATAACAAATAATGACACTTATGAAACTTTCGTCACATTTTCTAGGGAACTACAGGTAAGAACTTCCCGAAATTTGTTATCACTCTTCATTTGAACATGCTTTATCATGTGATGCGTTTTCAGATAAATCGCTCATCAACTTTCTTACATATTCGAACACATCATGGCTATTTAAGAAATTTTAGTTGCATTTTTCTAGGGAAATACAAATAATTTAAGAGCTTCAGGTAATTTGTTATTAGGCTTCATATGAACATGTTTTAACCAAGTGATGTATTTTAATATCCATTTCTCATTCATATTCCTGTTTACAGAATACCGTAATAGCGGTTGTACCATTAGTGAGCAATAGCTCACAGTTTAACTTGGTTTTCCCCCATACATTTAAATCACCTTGTGAGTCTTTGATTCATTCTTCACTCATAATTTGATCTCTCGTGCCAGATTATTGCGAATAATTCTGATTTTTTATTTAATGGCATGTAGAGTAAATAGGTGGTTGCACAGTTTTGTTGGTTTGCCGAATCTGATTGGCGCCCTTAGAAAATGAAAACAACACGTTATTAATTTCATGCATCCGAAGCGCTTTTCTAGATTTACCTTCATTAGGAACGTCCAAAGCCAAATATTTGAAAGCCGAGGATGTATAAGAACATGCGCAGAAACAGTTGAAGAGCGTCGAGTAAGGAAATAAACTTGATTTTTTTTTGCTATATCAACTTTTATACAGCCCTGCAAACTTGTGGTCCAATAAACGTCGTCATTAAAAGAATAGGACTTTCTTAAGCATTAACATCAAGTTTTGAGCGGGAGTTATACGCCCCCGGGTAGTTCTACATAGCTGTTAAATGGACTGTATGTTAATACAACTGAACTCGTCCGACTGAAATTGATTTCTATACTCATATACATACAATATGTACATAAAACCAAGGAAGTTTTGTGTGGGATCTACATAGCTGTTATATGGACTAAACTCATCCGACTGATTTTTTTTAGTTGTTAAACTATGATTTTCCATAATCATATTCATATAATATGTATACAAAAACTCTAAACAATCAATTTTTTCTGTATGACTTGTATACTTTTATTAACTTGTGAAACCAATTCTTTCTGTTGATTTAATATTGCCAAAGCTTAAACGTTGTCTCTGAGACAGTTAGGTTTTTATTAAGAATGGCATTTATGAACATTTGTATGGTCGTTTTTGAAAGAAATGATTTGAGCAAATCTACTGTATTCTTCCTACGTATACCTCCCCCTAAACTACAGTCCAACCGTCCGCAATTCAAAAGGTATCAAGCTGCTTTTGTTTAAACTTTAACCTGCTGAAGTTCCCTGTATATTCTATGTCAGAAAGACAAACAGAAAATGTAAATGTAGATTTTTTTTATGAAATGGAAGGCTTGGATGGAGTCTCAATATAAATAAGAAGATGTGGTATGAGTGCCAATGAGACAACTCTCCATCCAAGTCACAATGTATAAAAAGTTAACAATTGTAGGTCAAAGTACGGCCTTCAACACGGAGCCTTGGCTCACACCGAACAGCAAGCTATCAAGGGCCCGAAAATGACTAGTGTAAAACAATTCAAATAGGAAAACCAACGGTCTAATCTATATAAAAAACGAGAAACGAGAAACACCTATGAACCACACCAACAAACGATAACCACTGAACAACAGGCTCCTGACTTAGGACAGGTGCATAAAAATGCAGCGGGTTTAAACTTTTTAACAGGCGCCAACCTTCACCCTAACCTGAGACAGTAGTGTAACATTACAACATAAAAAGACACACTATAAAATATCAATTAGAATGGCTTAACCTGATCAAAAAGGCTTTTAAACAAAAACAATTATACATGCACTGAACGAATAAGTTTGATCTATGACACAATATAAATACAATATTAAAACGTAGGTGCCTATATAACATAGACGTTACAGGTAGTAATAAAAAAGATGTAGGAAGAGTGTCAATAAGACAACTCTTTTCTGGGACAAAATGGCGTTAAATAAAACAACATACACAGGTAAATTTAAATATAATAATTTTGTTGTTAGGAGTACGGAAGTTAACATATTTTACAAAATTAATGAATTTGTTGTTCAGAGTACGAGTACAGAAGTGAAAATTTATCGTCATACTAAATACTTATCAAAGGTGGTACATATTAAAATAGTGAGACGAGATATAAAACAAAATAAGTAAACATTGAATTACAGAACTGCATTACAATTTGTGTCAACAGGTGAAATTAACACGAAAGTACGATTTGAGAGTACTAGCAGTTACTGAAAACTAGTTAAAAGCTAAAAAAACAATTAATAATAAAAAATCATGCATCAGAGACTAAAATCAATTAAAACACATCCCAGGGATTTAGTGTTTTAACGCCATGGACAGTCAGAGAAGAGATGACTTGTACAATGCCAAAATAAAAGTATCGACAGGCAGTAGGATCGTTAGGATTTAACCTTATAATAAATATATATCATGTTATATATAAATAAAGCAATCTCTAAATAGAAAAAAAACGTGTATGTGTATTTATACATCCCAAAAACCATTCGAAAAGAATACAAATCTAGTCATGTTTTAATTTGTTGATGACAAAATCGATGTTTGTGCCAATGTAAACAATATTCAAAGATCTTATTACAACATTAATAAGATAACCTTTACTAATAAGTTTGTTTAAAGGTTCGATGAGTTTACACGGATCATATGATAGTGATTTCCGTGCTTTTAGTACTCAAGTTTGTTTATTAATAAAATTTAGCAAACGACCTTCAGATGATATATAAACTTTTTTTGGTACAATTTTAGACTAAAAATTGATATATTTCCAATCAAAGGAGGGAAGTACGACCTCTGCGCCTCCCTGAGCCCGCCACTGCTATATATAGGGACTCTGTAGGATGTTTTACGTAATTGCAGTACACTTTAACTGTACACCATTTTAGAAGATTAATTCAGGAAAAACGGGAAAAATATTTTTGGCGAGAA